AAAAAAAAAAAAAAAAATAAAAAATAAAACACATCATAGTAAAATTAATACCTTCTCAGCTTCGCATCGAAGCTAAAAAATTATTACTACATGAATCTAATAAAAGTTGCAAAACATGTAAATTTTATTTCCATTTACCCCACTTGACCCTATACGCCATTTATGAATATAAACAATAACGGCAAAAGGTGACCACCATACGGAACATCAGAAGAAACTTTAATTGTATCTAAATTCCCCAAATGAGAACTTGTTGAGTTCTATTAAAAATTAATAGATAATTTTATTCATTATAGAGCTAATTAAAAGACAAAGTTTTATTTTTATATTATTCATAGTCATTTTGTTTGTATGGTTTTATAATAATTGTAAAACCATACTAACAAAATAGACGCTTTATACAAAGAGTTCACTTTGCAAAAAAATTTAAAAATTTTAATCTTGTCTAAAAATGTATTTTTTTTTTTACGATTCTGAAAAAAATGTTTTGTTTTTTTTTTTAACTTTTAAAAGGTGTCCCCTCAAATTTTTTTATTTTTTTTTTAACTTTCAAAGAGTTTTACTAAAAATTTCGTAAATTTACGAAATTTTGCAATACAACTATAGTACAAATTATAAACTCCTTTAACTTCATAATTACACCATTAAAAAATCGCTTGTAGTCATAAAATGAACTAAACTTACGATCCTTGTAGTATTTTTTTCTTCAGATATAATGCATGTTCAATTGAAATTAAAGGATCCTTGGCTCCATGAACAATAAGTGTAGGTACTTTTATTTTATGCAAAATTTCACTGCATAATTCTCCTTGATTTTCTTTCAAAATTATCTTGAATGCGTCTACCCATGCAGACCAAGTTTCCGTAAAATACGTTTCACCATATATTTCTAAAAAAGGCTGCCTCCTCTCTGGTAACCAATTTTCAACATTTTGTATTTCTTCAAATATTTGCATGTCTTTTTCTGTAATAAATGCATTTGTTCCTAATGTAACAACACTTTGAACAGCATCAGTAGCTTTGGAAGCTGCAATTAATGCCGTAACCCCTCCATGGCACCAACCAACGAGTGAAAACTTATGAATATTTAATTCCTAAATAATTCAACACAATTATTTATTAATAATGCAAACTTTTTAAGCAAAATCAAATTACTTTCATCAATGCTAATACATAATCAGCATCTCTGTAAAAAAATCCGGTAGAATAATCTCTAATTGGAGGACGACTTAATCCATAACCAGGTGGATCCCAAACAATAATTGTATATTTATTTCTGTTGAGGTTATTAATTTGCGGTACAAAATCCTTGAATACATTACCTAGATTTTGTTTTATTAAACAATTCTTTCTTAATAACATTTGTAGTTATTTTTAAAAATAAAAATACCTAATGCTCCAGGCAAAAAAATAATTTTTTTCGGTCCATTTCCTACTAAAATGTAATTTATTTGAACATCTTTGATAAAAATTTTTTTTGAATTCTAAAAATATAAAATTATAATACTTATTTAAAATTTTATAGTAATTTTAGTGTTTAACTAAGAGTTTTCTCATTAAGTGAATGTTGAAGAGTTTTAATCCTTATCTTGTCACTAGTAGGCAATATAAAATATGTTAATAAAATAAAAGAAGGCATAACATTTCTCTAGCATCGTTAACTTTATTTGTTAATATATTTCAAATAAATATTACCGCGTTAAAGGCACTGAGCGTGAGGAATCATTCTGGATTATAACTATTCTCGTGTACTATATAAAATATACGACAGCTATTCGGTGGTATTCGTACAGAAGCGTTGTAAAGTACTAGAAAATGTTAATGACAATTCGCTTATGAATAAAAAACCTAGCAAAGTGGGGACGTGGCATAGTCGGGTTCACTATAGATTTAATCTGACAGTGATTAAAATTACTATCATAAAAAACGCTCGATGCAATCTATAGATAGTGTTTAATTTTAAAAAATTAGTGGGTTATTCCAAAAGCAACAAGATCTCCTATTTCCTTATTTATATTCTGATTACAAGTTTTATGATTTATAAGTGTATATGTATAAATATTTACTATAGCAATTAAATATAGTATTAAATTGATATTTAATAATTTAGTATTGTATTTTAAAAGCATGTTTTGTTAGTTTTTTAAACTATATTTTTTTTAAATAACCTCCTTAAAGAAGTTGATCTACCTATCGCTCTTCTTCATATAACCGTCCCTTCATTATGTATTCAAAACCAAACATAAATGTATCGCTGATCATATAATATTAGAAAAGTCTGTAGAATCGTTTAGGTGCCATTTATATAATATGAACTCGTAATTTGATCACTGATAATTATTTTACTTACCATTAGTATCAATGTCTTGAGCGGCGTAACAAAATATTATTAAATATTAATATTATAAAATATTTAGGCAAGTTAAAAAATAAAAAATAAGTTAAACGTCTGACGCTATCCGTAGTTGCCTACTCATTAGTCGACGCGGTTGCCCTTCAAACAGTTACACTTGATATACAAGAATATGAGCTACCATGGAATAAGGGGAAAATAATACCCGAACTTATTGTAAAAATATATTATATAATAAGTAATTCAATCAACCACCGTGCTCCATTAAAAACTACAACAAAAAGTTACCAAATTTATAATAAGCCAAAAAAACTTATTCATACGACTTTTAAATTGATATCAATAGTTAAATTACGGATTACATTGTCCAAAATGACATAGAATTTTAAGGACGATTATCTCATGCTCCACATTTTTGAGATCTTTAATAATCTTAATGAAAAAAAATTTTTTTTAATTATATTAAACATATCCAGAAAAACGATTTATAATATAAAAATGTTTTTAGGAGAGGGAAAAATTGTATCGAGAAAGAAGCAAAGGCTGTCTTATAGGAATGTGTGGGATGAGACACTCTCTCCTACACAAAACGTCATCTCATGAATTTTGTGTCTGTTAACATATTTTTTTTTAGATTTTTTAAGGGAAGAGTAAAAAGAAGATCTTGTTTTGTGCATAAGTAAGATAGTCTAAAAAATTATAGTTTTAGTTTAATTTATATCTTTTTATACATTGATAATTCTGTATATAAACATTATAGAGTTAAGATTTCTCAATATATGCAACATTTAAAATGAATATTAAATAACTAGGTTAATATTTTTATATAACAAGTTTTTGTCAAAATTTTATATAAATACATTTATAATAAATAATTACCAAAATATAGATATGAATCTGATAGTTATAATTAGAGAAAATCATTTTTAAAAAAATATTATTCAATAAAATTTTAATTTTTGTAATAATGAATGTAGGCTTTTAAAATGTTAATATTTCTTTTATAATGTTTTTTAATGCATGATAAAGGCTTTGGATCCAAATCACCAACATTAATATTAATAAAGTAGTATTTGTTGTTAATATCAATTAAATAATCTTGATTTGTTTGATTTAATTGAAAAGAATTTAATTTTCTAAATGTTACGTAAATTGAACAATCTCGAGCAGTAGTTGCTAATAAATATCTTTCAAAAAGATCCAAATTTAAAAAATTGGAATTTTTAATCTTAGAATTTAACTGTTCAACATAATAGTAGTCTGTTAATTCATTGGCATTTTCCTTATATTCTGAGTAAATTGAGGTAAAATCAATAGACTGTAATTTTTGCATTGATAAAATATAATTTAACACACAATTTTCTGGAAGATTGGTATAATTAAAATTGCAACCTTTTCCGGAAAACTTAATATTATGTGCTGTAATTTCTAAATCAGTTTTATGAATTTCTTTACAATTGTTTAAGTTTTCAGCTTGGGTAATAATTGTATAGTTATGTTTAATAAAATATTTAAATTCTTTAATTAATGACATCACTATTAACATAGAAAACTCATCAACATTTTCAAAAACATCATCAAGACTACTTTCTAGGTAATTATTTGTTATTGGTAAACCATTTTTGAATAGTTTTAAATTATTCTGAGGTGTTAATAGTAAATTCTTAATAGCTTCTTTCATTCTTTCAACATTTCCAGAAAACAATTCCATTGGGCAGTAACAGCTAAATGTATTAATCGTTTTCTCAACAAATTTTAAATACTGATTCATGCAGAAAAAACATTTGGAATTAACTTTTTCACTATCAATTATCCATCCTTGTTTTGGTTTGATTTCTACACAATAGATAGGTTCCTTATAATGTGTTTCGTTTAATGAAGTAATTTTTGGCAAAGAAAGAGTATAATCTGGATATACAGCAACTAATAAACTACCTATATTTTTATGAAGCCTTATTTTTGGTCTAAATGTTTTAAGATCTTTATTTATTTCAGAAATACTTTTATTCTTAATAATCATTAATTCTGGAATTTTAATATATTGTTTATGAAAAAACAATGATGTAATAACTTCATAAAAACAAATAGCATTCATTAAAATTGATTTCACAGTTTCAATATCTACCTTATCATTTTCTACTTTCAAAATTCTTAAAACTATACTATCCTCTGGTATTGACAAAACTAGGTTAGCATTTCCTTCTCCCTTATAAAACCACTTCTTCTGTTTTAAATCTATACTTTTAATATGATCGTTAAAATCAGCCATTGTATTCATACTATTCAAAGTTAACTTATAATAAAAATCAAAAAAATTTTTTTTTTGAAATTATTGCAAACTTGATAAAAAATTTTCAATTGAAGAATTAAATTTTTCAGGATATCTTAAATGTATATTGTGTTTGCCATCAGGAAATATTTCAAGTCTGTAACAGAATAAAAATATAAAGTCATATTTAAAATTTTTATTTAAAGTCAATTTTAAAATATTTTGTTTTAAAATAAAATTTCCTAGCACACTCCCCACAAAAAATTTCTGACACCATAAACGTATACAATTTTTTCTAAACTTTTATTATAACGTAACTATAAAATTAATCATATTTACATTTTAAAAATATGCTAAATAGTACAAAAATTAAAAACCTGTACTGCAATATTTTAAATTTATGAAAATATATAATAGTTAAATAAATTACCAATATAATTCTCTAAATAATTTAAACCTGATTTTAGTAGAAGGGAAGTAATTTAATAGTGTGGTTATTATTGAAATAGTATTTAAATAATACTTTATTTTTTTGAAAATCCAATATTAGCCCCCCCCATGTTATTTTTAGATATTTTATAAATATATATATAAGGAAGAAATTTAACATATTCTGACATTTTTATATCTTAAACCTATATTAGATGGCAATAAAACATTTTTTTATTTTTAGATTTACAAGTTTTTATAAAAAAATTAAAATTTGTCATATAAAAATTAGTTTATTGAAATATATCAACATCATCTCCTTAGCTTCTATCTCAACTACATGATAGGGTTGGCTCTACTTTGACAACATTTTTACATCGGCTGTTGACATGACATTTCACTATTAAATTTTCTGTATGAAAATTTCATACAGAATATTATTGAAAATATTATTATTATTGAATTTCATCATCCTGATATCAGTATAGGTGATAGCAAACAGAGCAGCTGAATATCAGCTCCAAGACAGTGACTTTATTGCGCTATACCACACTGAGATTTTTTTAATAGGCTTTAAAAAAATTTTTGAAAAAAAGGGACTTACAATTGTTGTTACATTAGCCATTGATATTATCTAATGATATCAATAAAATTCTAAAAATTATTTTTAATAACAAATTTTACTCATTTTGTTTTTTTTAAATATTTATAAAACTACTTCACTCACGATGCATATTTTAAATTTTTGTGAATGTAGACTGGATGTTCAATGGGAACTAAAGGATCTTGAGAACCATGCAATACTAATGTGGGTGCTTCAATTTTAGATAATTCTCCACAACAAATATCACCTTTGTTTTCCTCTAAAATTGCTCGATATGCATCTATCAATGAAGACCAAGTTTTGGCAAAATATTCTTCCCCATATAAATTGATAAAAGGTTGTCTCATTTTTGGAGACCACTTTTTAACATCCCGTATTTTTTCATACAATTTAATATCTTTATCTGTGAGATAAGCATTTGAACCCCATACAATAACATTCTGAATTTTATCTACAGCTTGAGATGCAGCAATCAATGCTGTGATACCACCATCACTCCAACCAATTAGAGAATATTGATTTATGTTAAGCGCCTGAATAAAAAAACTATTTAAAATTCAAAAATTTATTTTTTTGAAATTATTTACATCCATCAATGTTACAACATATTCAGCATCTTTATAAAAGAATCCTGATGAACAATCTCTACTTGGAGGCCGACTAAATCCATAACCTGGTGGGTCCCACACTACAATAGTATATTTTTTTCTAGAAAGATTTTCGATTTGTGGTTTAAAATCAGTATAAATAGAACCTAAATTAAGTTAATAATGTTAACTACGTAAAAATAAATTATACATTTAAAATATAATTTGAAGAAAGAATATAAGGCTGTAATTTTTAATATGAATTTTTTTTCATTTTTTTCATTACATTAAAAATTACCTAATGCTCCAGGAAGAAGTAGCAAAGTTTTAGGTCCACTTCCTACTTTAAGGTAATTAATTTCAATATCATTGACTTTAATTTTCTTTGGACTCTGAAAATATAATAAAACAGTTATTTTTGGTTTATAATAGTGTAATTATTATATAATTAATTATATATTAAGAATATATTAAATAGATTTTATTCTTGATCAGATATATTTTTTAACATTTGAAAAAGAAAAAACTGTTAGATTTAGATTATTAATTTAACTTTGTAAAGATAGTTAGTAACCTTATATACATATTTTAAAAAGAGTAAACATCTTACGATTTTCATTTGTACGAATACTATTTATTTTTAGCTTGTTATTTACCTCGATTGAATAAAATCGTCTGTTCTTAATAGATAAACTCAATCGACTAAGATTTTTAATGTATTTAAACATAATAAAATATTAAATGTACAGACAATAAAATTTACAAAAAATCATAATATTTTTCTAATTATTTAATTAATATTTGGAATAAAAAAATTATGTTTAGAAAATCTACGCAAAAACAATAACATCTACGCACAATTTACAAATAATTATTTCGTATCGTATCTTACGCATATTAGCACAGATAAGATAAATATTTATGATATTATCAACAATAAATATATATATATATATATGTGTGTGTGTAAATCGTGTGATAAGTATAAATTAAATTACTAATAACGGACATTTTGAATTTTAGTTCTTTTTGACTGAAAGTACTGGTAAGATAAAACCAAGTGGTGCATTTCTATTCAAGTTTAGAGTATTGCTCTATGTATTCAAGACGTGTAATTTTCAAAAATGTAAACAAAACAAGACCTGCTTCAGATCAATAACATAACCACTCAAAGAAAAAAAAGTTTTTATTAGAAATGATTGTTTTTTATCTATGCATTACTGGCTTTTGTTGTTTGTATAATGCAAAATGACCACACCAATTTCTTTCGACCATACCAAGGATCATAAATCATATCTAATTGCTAACATTGACCTTAAAAATTAAAAAAAATTCACTCGTTTCTTAAAAATAAAGGGAATCCCCAAAAATTACAATTTTTAAAATCGGTAAATGTTGACATTTCTTTTTCTTAAAACTGCCATAACTTTTTCAAAATGAACAAATCAAAATAATTTTTTCTTACATAGAACCTCAGGTATTTTCCTTTTATTTGATATAATTGTTTTGATCATCTGACCCTTTACCTGCCCACGGGGGCGTATACAAAATAACAACTTTTCGCAACTCTAAGAACTTTAATTACACCACATGATTAAGCTATATTGAGATTTATTTAAATTTTTTAATGCTTAATATATGTTAAATGATAACTATAAAGTATTAATGATATTTACTTATATATATATATTTTTTTTTTTTACTAAAAAAAAAATTAAAAATTACAGTAATGAAAAATCACAGGAAAATATTTTAAAAAATGTGTCCAATAGATTTTTTATTGAAGTGTAAATATTATAAACATATTTAGCATTTAGTAGCAGATTATATAAAATCGAATTATTTAATCTGCAATAGAGTTAGAGAGACTTATGTAAGTAGATTATAGATAGGTCAAAAAGTTTACCAATAAAAATTAAAGCTAATCAAATTTTTTAATTTCCATTAATATGCATTGATTCTTTTGCATATCCGTAAAACCAAATATTTGATACAATAATTATAGAAAAAAGTGCTTTACAAAAAATTAATTTCTTATATACGATTTAAAAGAGTGCACGATCTGGTTTATATCTTATCTGTGCTGATATTTCCCTTTTAAGCTTAAACAGAAAATCTCTAATAGATGAGAATAAATTTATATTATAAAATATAATTTATCTATCATAGATGCATTATTTTTACCATTGAATCACGGTAGACAATGTCTAAAATTTAAGAAACAAATTCATGTGTTTGAGATATATGATACGATAAGTCAGAAAATATAATTTATAAAATAATTATTTTATAAAAATTGTTTTCAATGCGAAAAATTAATATGAATCCAAAATTATTTTTCAATGTTTCATGATAAAAATAAATTTTCCTTTTTTAGTCATAATTGTAAAACAGCTCGAGTTTAGGAAAAGGTTTTTTTATACTTTTTCTTCTGAAATTAATATGTGAAAACCTTTTGAAAGCTAATAATAAAAAAAAAAAAAAAAAATATGTTAAAATTGATACTACTAGTACTTAGGCTTACATCATGATAGTAATTATTTTTTAGATCGGTGTTTTGAGAAACTAAATAAATTAAATACTTAAAGAATTAAATAACATCCAGTGAATCGTACTTGGGTTAGTATTTTTTATATCAAATATTTTGATTTTAATACTGTAAAAAAATGTCGTTTTTCGTTACTCTACTAGATAATTTTATTAGGTACATAGTATTGCACTAATAATTAGGGATTAAAATTAAAAGAACGTATCAATCAAAATTGGGATTTCTCGATTATTATTATAAATTAATTAATTGGTTAATTTCAGGCTATATCCTATTTTCGTTTGTACGCTTCTATAATCCTAACCTTTGATAACATGCTTTATGTTCTTATCTAAAAAATTATATATTTTTATTTTTATAACAAATTGAGCGTAAAGAATTAATTCCACACTAAATAGTCAAAGGCATTTCGTGGAGTACAAAAGTAGGCAATAATGATTATCCCCAAAATCAGATTTTAATTAATTTTTTTTTTACTTAACATTTTCCAAATTATTTAATGAACATAAGAAATTTTTCATTAAACTAATTTAAAAATATTGAGGTCATGGAAATTATGTTGTTCTTAGTCGGCAAAATTTAATATACATTTCTAAGATAATCAGAGTAGGATGAGGAGGTTAAGAAAGTTTTACAACCTTATGTCAATGTCTAAGGTAACTTTTCTTATGTAGTTATTTTTTCATATATATCCAAAAGATCACAAAATAAAATAAAGATATATTGAGACTATAAGAATTTTTAATAATAAAATATCATTAAATTATGTGCACTATAAAAAAATGTTTGGAACATAAGTAAAAAATTATAAAATATCATTTGTGTACAATTCATACATTTAGTTTGTAAATAAAGCAAAATTTTTTCTGGATTTATATCCAACTTTAAAATATAAGTAAATTTGGCAACAAAGTTTTAATACCATGCAGAAAAAAAATTATTTTATCAAGTTTAACATTTTGATTTCTAGTCAATAATAATTATAATTAAAATACTGATAAATAAAAAATCTACTCTAATGGCAGTTTAGTTGTAAAAACAAAAAAATAATCATTTTTCTGGAGATGATAATAAATCTAACCCTTTAGTCTTTTGAATTATTTTAGTATAAGGAGACCCTAGAAGATCTTCTCCTCGATCAATGATAGGTGGTTTATTAGGTGTAACAGGTTCTAATTTTTGTTCCTTGTTTTTCTTGGGAGTTTTAGGTACTTTAATTTGTTTTTCTTTATTAGGAGATCTGTATATTTGATTTATTCTATTATTAGTTTGTCTAAAATTATATCTTCCAACTTTTATATGTTGTTCATTTGTTTTAAATGCACCTTTAGAAAATTTTTCACAAGATATACATTCACAATTAGCATTATTTTCACCAAAAAAGTTAGCACTATAAAAACAAGTAATTTCTTCGCCAGGTTTTATATCTTTCAAAACTTTAACAAAAGCAGTTCCTTTATCATTAGCAACAAATTTACAATTAGCTCGACAATCATGATTGATATATGCTGCTGGTCCTAACCAAAGTTGAGCACATTTTTTTCGACAGCTATACATTACTGAAAAATCATTTTTACCTACATGTAATATTTCATCTTCTTCTTGTTCAGTTAATTTTGCTACGCAACCAACTAATCTATGAATTACTTCATCTTTATACCAAGAAGTAGTTGCAGAAACTTTAGCACCAATTTTATTCTCTAATGAGTATCTATGGCATGGTTCAATCTTAAAACCTGCATCTGAGCAAAAAATTCCTATATATCTATCAATATGATCTTTAACTAATTTCTTATATGATTCTTTAAATAAATGTATAGGTATATAACTTTTGTTCCAGAATGCTTCAAAAACTTTTTTTCTATCTTGATTTAAAATAAATTCATCAATTATAGGTTTTAAAATTGCTCTACTTGTGTACATTTCTTTAAAATTAATATCCATTTTATGGGTGTTAAATCCAAGATACACATCAATAACTAATGATGTAGCTAGGTCATCAATATCACATAGGTCTCTAGGCTTCATTTTATTAATAACCTGTAAAATAAACAAAATATATTTTGCAAAATTTGTTAAAAATATATTTTTAACAAATTCAAAAGATTATATTTTTAGTTTCATAAAATAGTCTTGAATCACTTAGATTGACTATTCAAAAAAACATTTAAAACATTTATACACATATTATGTACACACATAATAAGGGGAATTTATTTTACTATTTATATGAAGAGTATTCGTCACAAAATTATGTTTCCTAAATCAAAATATACAGTTTTTATAAAAAAAAATTGGCTCAAGCCCTTTTTTTCTATAAATCAAACTAATATACAAAGTGAGTAACAAATATATGACAAATTTTTTTGTCAATTACTTACAAAAAACATTGATGGACAAACTAGATTTTTAGGACATTTACTTATTTAGTATAAGAATTTTAACACAGAGTGTATATATAGGTGGATGGATGTAGTGTACTAGTGTACATAGTCTTACTTGTTTCATACCTTTTCAGTGTATAAAAATGCTCAATGAATACTTGTCCTAAAATTGTTCTTAACCCAATAAAATTATCTGTAAGAAAACCTAATCAGAATTTAACAACAGGCAATACTGCAATAACAATGAGAATGTCCACTTATATTAATATTTTCCTAATTAATGTTGACCTATCAAAATGCTTTTATTTTTTCTTATTAGTAATTAATAACAACAAATATACTTTGAATGTAGTGTAAAAAGGCAATAATTAAATAAAAATAATAGTAATATAATTGGATGTAATACTATCATGACTCACCTTATATATAATAAAACTGAATTTTTTGTTAATGTTATTAAATCATTTATTTATTTATTTATTTTACGCCAACGGCATTTCAATATATACAATAAATTAAAGGTTAATGATAGTATTTACAACAACAAATATATATAAGATTATAAACATTACATGTTAGAGCACAATATAACTTAAGAAAATTAAATCATGTTCAATAAAAAGTTTATTTCATAATTTAGTTAATTGATTGAAGAATATATTAGAAATATGTCTTTCATTTCCAAAACAATGCATTTTATTCTAAATCACTTGTCTATTAAATATTTAAGGTCAGCTTTATTTTTAAACAGTTGATGACTTGATGATGTATCCCATGCCACTACACATTCATTACTTATATTACTTTATATCTCACAACCTCTTTTCCCTAAACATTAATTTTACAACCTTTATAACTCCTTTAGTTTTCTTTCTTTTATTACTATGCAACCATCTTAGTCTTTGTTTTCTTATGTTGTCTACTATTTTTACTAAGTCAATGCTACTTTTTGCACATTTTCTCTTTATTTAATCTTCTTTTATTAATCTATTTACCTATCTAAATTATCACATTTCCAATAAACATATTTTTTGCCTCATTTCATTATCAATCATTTTAAATTTCAAACTATACAGCATAGTGTGTCTTACCACATTTTTGTAGTATCAGACTCTTTGGATTTTCTTATGGTATAAAATTCCTGAAAATTCTTTCCATTTGATTTGTTGCCATTACACCTTATAGTTTCATTTAAGACATTTTTCTTTTGAAGAAGGGGTTTAATATATATAAACTATCAACCAACCTGTCACAAAATGCATTTTAAAAAGTCAACATTTTTAAAAAATAATTATAACACGATTAATAAAGAAAATTATAAAATCAAATTTTAAGGAATTATGAGTGTTATATTATCTAAGTATTACCTCACTTTATAGGCACAATCTGACTGATCTAGAAAGGATTTAGCTTCCCCAAAATCTGTAATAGCCCCCAACAATTATGAAAAATATATGTATTTTTAAATAGAAATATTTTTTAAAGCGGGGAGAAATTAGATTAGACCTCTCAAATATTTTGCTCAAAGTATGCCTATATCTCACTTTCAACTCCTACAATGTGATTAAATCTATGATTAATCTGTAAAGAACTACTGAATACTAAAAATTAACTTAATCATTTAAAAAAAAAATGATAATAATTTAAGGATTAGTGAATTTATTATGATATTAGACTTTATACCCTAAGTAATACAATTTTGTTGGGGCCAATCAAATTAAAAGTTCTTAAATAACTTTTTCTTTGAATAAAATATGAAACAACATACAACTAATTAATTAATAAGAATACTATGATTGATGAGAAATAAATTCTATAATAGCTCATTTATGAAAAAAATTTAAAAAAAAATACTCAAAAATAACTTTTTTAAATGATTATATGCTATATATAAACAAAAAAAATAGTAGTGACATATAACTTAAATTATAAAAAATTCTAGTTTGTTATTGAGTACAATTAAAAACATCAACTTACTTAAAAATAATATATTGAACTTATTGTAAATCAGTCGTCTACTGTTATTAAATTTATAAAAATCGTTTATTCAAGTGTGAAAATGAATGTTATGACCAAAACTGAAGATTTTATAAAATCTCAACTCAGGTAACGGTTATGTGTAAAGTACATAATTGATAAAATTACCAGCTGATCATATTTAACTCTACGGTTATTGTAACCGATAACATAAAAAATCCTTCAGAATTGTTTTATCGACAAATTTTAAAACAATAATAATAATCTGTGAATAGATAAAAATATACATTTTTAAAACATCTAAATTAGTAAAAGTAACCAGTTGTTGATTTAAACAATCATGAGGGCGTGTCAGTTGTATAGAACAATTCAAATCAGACCAGCGTTATTCACTGTTCCTAAAAACAAAAATATTTGTGTTAAATTTAGATTTCCTTTTAGAAATATGGTATGTACATGTACTTTATTTTTTCGTATTAATAATATGTATTATGCTTTTTAAAGGCAATAAAATCTACTGTCAGTGTGCGCAAAGAATCAGATACATTTGGAGAACTTGATGTGCCCAGTGATCGTTATTATGGAGCTCAAACTGTTAGGTCGACCATGAATTTTCGCATTGGTGGTGAAAAAGAACAAATGCCGGTAAAGAGCTAACATATTATATATATATATATTGTGTAGATATTAATAGATCTCATAAAAATATTTAAGTACTTATGGACATTATTTAGTATCCTGTGATAGTTGCAATGGGCATACTAAAGAAAGCTGCAGCAGAAGTAAACAAAGAATTTGGTCTTGATGCAAAAATTGCAGATGCTATAAGCCGAGCAGCAGATGAAGTGATTAGTGGAAAATTATATAATGAAGGACATTTTCCTTTGGTTATTTGGCAAACTGGTTCTGGCACTCAGTCAAATATGAATACAAATGAAGTATTTAACTTATTATTAGGTTTAATATATCATATACTAGTAATTATTATTCACAGGTAATCAGTAATAGAGCTATTGAAATTTTGGGAGGTGAATTAGGTTCAAAAAAACCTGTCCATCCTAATGATCATGTTAATAAAAGTCAAAGTTCTAATGATACTTTCCCTACAGCAATGCATATTGCTGTTGCTATGGAAATAAATAATTTATTGTTACCTTCATTAAAGCATCTTCATCATGAGTTAAAAAAAAAAGCTGAGGAATTTTCGAATATAATAAAAATTGGAAGAACTCACACACAAGTAATTTTTTTTTTGTTTATTTATTTTCCATTTAACTATCATTTTAAAGTTTTGTTCATATTTAAATTAAAATAACGTTGTTTTAAATAATTAAATTATTAGGATTCATCAAATTTTTATTGCCTTTATTTTTTTTGGTACTTGAAATTGCCAAGTATTTTTGTTTAAAATATATTTCAACTTTTTAATTTCTAGGATGCCACTCCTTTAACATTAGGACAAGAATTTAGTGGTTATGTTCAACAATTACATAATGGTATTAAAAGAGTTGAAAATACACTTCCTCACCTATATGAACTTGCATTAGGGGGTACAGCTGTTGGTACTGGCTTAAATACAAGAATTGGATTTGCTGAGAAATGTGCGACCAGAATAAGTGAACTAACTAAATTACCTTTTAAAAAGTCTCCTAATTTCTTTGAATCATTGGCTGCTCATGATGCTATGGTTGAAGTGTCTGGTGCATTGAATGTATTGGCTTGCAGTTTAATGAAGATTGCCAATGATGTAAGGTTTTTAGCATCTGGACCAAGAAGCGGTCTAGGTGAATTATCATTACCAGAAAATGAACCAGGAAGTAGTATTATGCCAGGTATTAATAATTTATATTAATTGTTTCATTGCTTTATTATATTAATTTTAAAATAATTTTATTAAGTCATATATTTTATCATATTTTAATTATTTAAGGTAAAGTTAATCCTACTCAGTGTGAAGCTTTGACTATGGTTTGTGCTCAAGTCATGGGAAATCATGTCGCCGTGACAGTTGGTGGGAGTAATGGACATTTTGAATTAAATGTATTTAAACCAATGATAGTATCAAATGTTTTACGTTCAACAAGATTATTAGCAGACAGTTGTGTGTCTTTTGCTGATAACTGTGTAATTGGTATTGAGGCTAACAAAGAAAGAATTTCTGATTTGTTGAATAATTCACTTATGTTAGTAACAGCTTTAAATCCACACATTGGGTATGATAAGGTATGCAAATTTTCACTTCATTAACTATGTATAATTTTGTGGAAAATTAAATTTTTTCATTTCACTATTCTGTATTTTTAAATATTCCAAAGTAGAAAAAATGAACGTTTTTTATTATATATTGAAAAGAAGATATTGTATTGAATATTTTATAAGAGTTCAGATTTAAAAGTCATTTAAAGGGATACAAATTTAAAAAACCTACTAGATACAATATATAATAATAATATTTATATTACTCATCAGATTTCTAACTCAATTTCTTTAATGAAAATAAAATAAAATAATATAGAAATTAGTTCTTAAGTATTTACATTTTTGTATATTTATCTATACTACTCTTAGTTTTTCTATGTATAAATCATCTTATATACATTTTATGATAGGCCGCTAAAATTGCTAAGACTGCTCATAAAGATGGATCTACACTGAAAGAAGCAGCTCTGAAACTTGGATATTTAACAGAAGATCAATTTAACCAATGGGTAAAACCGGAAGACATGTTAGGCCCAAAATAAGATTAAAATAATTATATTTATATAAGTTGATTAAACAATAGTTGATTTTTCAAAGTTAAAAAAATTAATTATTTATTTAAGTTTTATATATAAAAAAGTGTTTAAGTAAATTAATGTATAATGAAATTCTCCAAGAATTAAATCACGTTAGCATTATTCTCTAATAACATATTGTGTTGACCTTACTATGATTTTTAATTTAACACTTAGTTCGTTCAGTAGAACACAAACTCTTATAAAACATAAGTAGCTCAAAAAAATGAAACATGTAATTGAATTGTTTGTAAAATATTTCTAAATAAAATTGTTTTATTATTATTATAATTCTATTTCTGCAAAATTTAACCAGTTTTCTATTTTGGATATTACTTATTGTTACAAATAAATTTATTCGAAATTGAACATATTTTATCCTACATTATTTTATATTTTTATCATCCTATATTCATTTAACGTAGAAATTATTTAAGTGAGATAAAAATAGAAGATCTTTTAATTTTAACTATAAGTGCATTTATCTAAATAATATATTTATTTATATCATAAATAAATAAGTTTTAATAATACTGTTTGAACAAAATATATTTACAAATAAGTTAAAACACAACAATTTCAATACAATACTAAAATAATTTTTAAACTCACTTATTAATAAACTTATGAACCAAAAAAATATCCTTTAATAAGAACCATTGTACAAACTAAAAATAGGTTGAATAACACATATTTAATAACAAAATATGTAGCATTTAAATAAAAAGCAAATTGCTTAGACGTTAAATTATGAGTCTTGTTTAAAAACACAAAAATAATTGTATTAGATTATTTATGTCTATGTATTGAACTATTTGATTTATTTCCATTTCTAGGTCTACTTCTTCTCTTTTTTAACATTAATTCCCAATCTTTTCTAGCTAACATGTATAATTGTAAAGCAGCTTTTGCATCTTGAACAGAACTATGTTCACCTTCTTGTATGCTAGCTCCTAGAAAATGTAAAGTAAGTCGTTTTAAACCTGGAGTACGACCTTCTGTTAATTGCTTGAACTGCCAGTAAGTTGAAGTGTCTCTAATCATATGTTTGGGATGTGAGATTTTCAGTACCCTTAAATCATGCTCAAGAGCATGACCAACTAAAAGTTTCCCTTTTAATATCTGCGAAACATCTTTTTTTACTTTGATAAATAATTCACCATTCTCAATATCTTCAGGACGAACTCCACTGACAGCAGTACGGAAATCAGTAACTTTTTCTGTTGGTTTTACAAACTTATCATAAATTGTATCACCTTTAGAATTAACTATAGAAACTCTAGCTAACATATTTCCTTGACCATCAGGGTGTATTCCAACCATTTCACAATCAATTGCTACGACTTCAATATTTTTTTTTTCTTGTATCTATAATAAATAAATAAAATTAACTAATATAAAAAATACTAAAAAAATTTTACTTTAGAGAAATAATATTTTAACATAAATAAAATATAATAATTCTGAAAGTTGTCATTCAATGCATCAATAATTCAAATGTTCAGACAATTATTTTATTTTTGTTTAAAAATAAATTTATAAGGAATACTTTTTACCTGTACAACTGGTTTATTTAGTATAGTAGACGGATTGATACCATTTTTAAATGTTAACCAATTGTTAGCTCCATTAGCATTTTTATGAACTGTTGAAGCAACGTTAGCGCTCATTTTTATGAACCAGATCTAAAATATAATGCTTAATATATTTTGTTTGATAATATTAAATAGTATATAGTAATCATCACGTGTTAAGCAATACTGTAGTGTATCTAAGTGAGAACCATTATATTTGATAAAATGCAAGTCCGCTTATCATTAACGTATAATGATAACATTGTGTTCATGGGAAGGAAAGTTTTAATGAAAACATAACCTTAAACGTGTAATGAGTATTAGAATCGCCAAAAAGGCAATTGAATTATAACAGGAATTTTCATCTATTTTTAAGTATTATAGTTTATTAACTACGTTGTTTATTTATTTATTTAAGAAAAAATTGCAAATTATAATGACTTATTTTGTAATTAATCTATTTGTGGTTTAGTGAAAAAGTTAGTTGTATTAATTTGTCCAAATCAAACTCAAAAAGAAATCTTTCACTTGTCTACGTATGAAAGTTGCTGCAGGGTATTGCACTTCAACAGTAAGTTGGTTATTAAAGAAAACTGTTAATCACATAAAGCTTTTAGGCATTATTAACATTATATTTGGCTTAATTTTCGCGTAGTGGTTTACATAAAATATGGTCTTTTTGAAGTTAAAATAATATTAATTTTTGTTTTTTAAACCCTGAGGGCTTCGAAAGAAATTTTACGTTGTTAGTTATTTTGATAGTTCGTCAAAAACTTACCTATTTTACAAAAGTTTCTGTTCACTTACATTCATGCTTAATATTTCAAAATAACATTTGGTTATATAACACTACTAATTACATTATAACTTAATAAATTTATCATTTGTTAATTTCTCCAATCATAGTCAATAGTATTTGTGATAAAAATATTCTTATGTTTGATGTTATGTTAGATATCTAGATAGTTACTTTAAAATAATATATACAATATTCCATTGAATTTTTTATGTTAAAGTATATTTGCATATCAATATTACTTTTTCCAATGTACAAGTTAAATTAAAGGTGGGAATCAGCCCCCTTTTGTATAGGTTATTTTATACATTATTGTAGAAAATATTTGTTTTAATGCCATAATAAATAAATGACTTTTAAAAAATAAATAAACATATTTTCACATTATTTAATGTATTTAATCTTAACTAGTTTTAATTAAAACATTTTATAACAGTTTGAATCAAATTCTCATTAAAAAAAATTATTTATCAGTTGTTGTGATTTAATTTTTTCTTATAAAAATTGGTGTTTTATGAATTTTAAAATGATTGTATCATTTTTATGATTTTTTTAACCCTAAATAGATATTTTAAAGTAAAACTATGAATTAATAAAGAAATATGGTTTTAACATTTTTTTTTTCTTGAAAGACTGTTTTTAAAATAATTTTAATCAAAAAATAATTGATAGATTTTATTTTTCTAAAATATATTAATTTTGGTTTGTTTCTTGTTAATGTTATTTGATTATCTGAATGTATAATGAGACAATTTTAATTTTTTTTTGCTATTATAAAATTAAAATATTATGGTTCATATTTTTTACTATATAATCATTGTTTTTTATTCATCATATATATTTTCAATAATCTTATGACATTTTTATTTCATTAAAAATAAATGAGGAATTTATGTCTGTATAACATACATTTAATTTTTTATTTGTTGAATATATTTTTAATAAAGTACATTTAATAGGATTTATGATGCAGATCAATTAAATATACTAACTACCACCTTATAGTAATGAGTACCAGAGAAGTAAATAAAGATTATCTTATTGATGATTCCATTCGATCACCAAAAAAATCATCATTTAAGTGCAAACCACCATCTTATGTGAACATTTCAAGGTGTATTAATGGTTACACTTCTTCTTTAACTCAATACGATAGTAAAAAGAGAGAAAGTAGGTCCAGAGACTGTAGTCCAATCAATATCCGTTCTATTAACATGGATGAACAAAGCTTTATGACTAAATGTAAAATTACTGATACAGTTGACTATAGAAATGAATCTCCTAATTCAATTGTGGTCAATACAATTCAAAGACTTTATGGTTCTACTGTAAAAATATCAAGTAAAGAAATTAAATCTAATAACATTCCTGCAGCAACTATACGGCATACAGAAAATATTGATTTACCTGTTCTAAAACTTCTCAATCCTCAATTCCGCGCAAAACTTACTATTAATAAAACCACACCTATAAAAAAACAGAATTCTACAGTAGTTTCTAATGGTATTGATAAAGAAGTTCATTGTGGTAAATATTTCATTAATTTAGTAAACTCAGAATGTAACTTAATTAAACAGTTGATAGCTCAAGTAGAATGTTTGTTACCAACTGCACCAGAATATGGCCAAGACCGTATTCAAGCAGCTATTGGTAAATCTAATCTTTTAATGTCACAAAAAATAAAACAGTTCCTTGGTTTATGTGAAAATAATATAACTTGTTCAATTGATGATGTATCTAGGCCTAAAGATAACGATTTAGAAGGTTTTTGGGATATGGTTAAAATTCAAGTTGATCAAGTGATAACGGAAATGAAAATAATTTTAGAGCTTCATAAAGAAAACTGGCCAGAAGACAAAGATATTGTTAAACCAAAAATAATTATGAAAACTAAAGTAAAAGTGAAAAAACCAGTCAATTCAAACCCAAAGTACGATGCAGCTAGAAGAAAAGCAATTGAAGAGCAACGGAAAGCAATGAAAAATTCTAAAAATGAGGATGTTATATTTTATTAGGACCTCATCTCAAAACTAGACTGTATTACTGTTTTAGAAGTATTATTAAATAATTTTATAATTGTGTAACCTTTTTATGACTTTGTATTTATCACAAATATAATTGCAAGAAATTATATATTTTTTATATTATTAAAAACTGTTAATTAATGTTTTGAAAAGTTGTTTATTGTTAGCATTAAAAAAAAGTGCAATTATATGAGATAATGTTACATTTTTTAAATGCTTTAACCAAATTGTAAAATTAATTTGAGAATATCTTTAAAATTTAATATTGAAATATTTAATACATCCTTCTAAGATAAAGTCTGCATCGGCTTGTATATTTCTATTTATATATACATATATATATTATTATTATTATTATTTTTACTGACTATTGTGTTATAATATGTAAAAAAGCTCAAGTTGTGATGCATATGCTGTTTTTTTACAGTTATCTGCCAATTTTACATGTTTAAGTACTGATTTGGTTATGCATTTACACTAGCATAATTGAAATAATATATATATTTAGAGAGAGCACGTATTGAACTAGTTTATTATTTGTAAATTTGATTTAAAACTAACAATTAATTCAAATTTTATTTATGTATTTCTGACCGAACAACATTAAACTATTAAATGTAGTATTAACGTATTGTATTATTTTTTATTGTTGGCAATCACTTATTACTGTTAATTTACATGTTATTATTTAATATAAGTTTGAAAGACAATCCTTTTTTAATGATGATATTTATAGTTTTGACTCAAAAAATAACTAACAATAAATAATAAAGTGAAGATAATTTGTAAAACTAGTTTTGATGTGTTATTTATGAAATAAAAAAAATTCAGTTTAAAAATATTATTAAAATGTAAAAAAGTAACTATAATTTGAGTTTTACTAATAGTTAGTAAAACTCTATTTAAATGGATTAAATGAAATGACTTTAAATATAGTCAAATCCATGTTTAAATTAATGAATGGTTGTAAAAAAAAAAAAATTTAGACACCTTACAATTATTAAAATTATTATTTTCATTAATATAAAAAAAATAATTAAAAACCAAATTTAAAATATATATTGTATATTTAACATAATGGAGATTTTAAATAAAACTTATTTTTATTTAATGTAGATTATTGATTATATATATAATACTATATATTTATTTCTTAAATGTCCAACTGAAGTCCGTTCACAATATGTTAATTATATTTTCTTTGTATCATTAAAAAAAAAAAAACGATTAAACAATTTTATTTTAAATGATCTATTAAAATCAAGTGTCAGGTTGTAAACATTAATTCCTACTTGTCTTTGGATTGTTAGTCTTATTTAAAAGTAATTTATGTATTGATTGTGAGGGCACAATTCATGTTTTTAACTTGGTGTATAAAAAAAAAACTAGATTACACAATTAATTTTTTTTTTTTACATGTTAAATACATATACTTATAATTAATGGCAAAAAAAGTTTTAGCTGCTCCATCTACAGTGCAATGTTCAGGGAACAATCAAACATTCAATGATGCATAAATGCATAACATAAAATGGTAACCTAATAATATGGCCAGCTAAATTAAAACATTTTTTCTTTAACAGGAAAAAGAAAAAATATGATATTTTATCAAATTTAACTGATTAGATTGAATGTCAAAAATAATTTTAATGAGCAATTTTTTATAGTTTTAATAAATTTTTTGTAAAACTGGAAATTTTGAAAGTATTACACAAAATAATGTTATGTACAATCTAAAAGTATAGAATATTAGATTGTACATAAGTACATATGTATAGAATATTTTTTTATTATTCGTAAATGTATTTAAATACTTTTACTCAAATTTTTAATAGTATTGTATTAGTGTAAATTGAGTGCTTATATTCTGAAGGTCTCAAAAATTTATTTCCATGTTTAAAATTTTATAATAATTATTCAAAATTATTTAACTATGTGAAAGAAGTGTCGCAACCAGAAAATATTTTTTTGGGGGGGTTATTACTCTGATTTGCTAATTCAAAGAAGAAGGGTATCACGATTAAGAATTGTTATTTTTTCTTGCCTTAATTCCAACTACTTAGAGCCATCCTGAACTTCCACTTGACACAATCTCCCACATCATCTATGCTCACATCAGCCGTCCTCATGTCGCATTCAATTACATTCCTCCATCTCTATTTTGGTCTTTCACTACCTTTTCTTCCTTCAACATTCATTTCTATAGCTGTTGTTATAGCTTCCGATTCCTCTCTCATAACATAACCAAACTATCTAAGTCTATTTTCGCTCATCTTATTTATGATTGACTTAACACCATTATCATGACTAAGAATTCAAACATCATAAATATAATCGAGAGAGTTAGAACTCTCTAATTGTGCCGCTGAATAAAAGCTTAAATAAATAATACACTTTTCTCTATTTGTACATTTTTATAGCTTAAGTGCGGTTCCATATTATTTTTTAATGTGGGTCATTTTACTAAATTTTATCATATCACTCGATTTTGTTAAAACGTATAACCTAACTGGATCCATCACTGTTACAACTGTTCATATAACTGTTATATTTCAAAAAATTTGTAGTCAAAACATGTTACCATATGGCATTGGTGTACATTCAAATTCATCTAGGATGGATTAAAAAAATTTCCTCAATAATTTTTTAAAATATAAATTTTAAATAGTACTTTTTTCCGTGATTTAAAACTACGTATATATAATTACTATATTAAACATTTTAATTATTGGCAGATAATTATTAAATATGAAAATTTTAATATGAAACATTTACAACAAAAAGTAGTCATAATATCATACAAGGTGCTTTATTGTGCGCTTGTTCGCCCTATTGTTGATTATGGTGCCGTAATTTGGGATTCGCATGACCTTAATGACTCTCTTAGACTTGAAAGGGTTCAGCGTAAAGTTATGAGATATGCTAGTTTTAGATTAAATATCTCTTGTGAACCCCACAACTATGGATCAGTTGCTTCTTAACTAGGGCTGGTTTCGCTGGCTGAGCGTAGATGGATCTCGGGTATTAAGTTCCTAAATAGTTTATTACAAGGTAATATTGACTCCCTATTTGCTTTCCTTAATTTGTTTTAGAGTTCCTCAACGTCATTCCCGATCTGTTGCTCCTTTTTATGTTCCTTTCGCCTCCACTAATTACCTTAAAAATGAGCCTATTACACGTATGATGTCAAATGCCAACGTTGACCCTTCATATCTTCTTTGCCTATAATTAACTGAATAGCTGTTAATTTATTATTTATCATATTTGTAAAATTAATGTATAACTGATATGTATAATGTGTATATATGTTCAATTGGTTTATCCCGTACATTTAACAAGAATAAAAATAAAAATTATTTGAGAATGTGTGTATACTGCCGTGCTAAGCGAAAAAAGGATAACTCCAGTCAACATGATTTTTCAGGAACGCAAAAAAACATTTTTAACAGTAAATCAAGATACCCTTTTTTCCCAATGTATGAACATAAGTCAAAAGACGGTAACTCCATTATTTTTTATGTTTTATACCAAGTTTTTGTTTAGTATTTGGATTTACCGTGTTTTCGCTTACAAAACATCAAATATATTGAACTTACCGTACATTTTCTTATTTTATATTTCAATTTTAGATGGGTTTTAATAGGAAATATGCTATTTTTACATCAAAAATCGGCGTAAAACCACTAAATTTACCTATAGAAACAAAAAAAAATTTTTTTTTAATTTTGGAGTTATCCTGTTTTTGCTTAGCACGGCAGTATAGGGAAGTGATATTTTCATCGTTGATAAATTATACTTCATTATTGAATATACATCAAATGTTTGATGTGTATTATAAGTAATATTTATAATTTTTGTTAATCAGTTTACTCTTTAAAATAGCTAAGTCTATAAAGAGATTTTAAATTTGTTATTTTACTTTTAGAACTGTTATGAACAATGCATAATTAACCGAATACTTGGTAAATAATATTTATTGTGCTTTAATGTTATTATATTATAACAATTAATAATACTGAATTATCTTATTTGAATACTTAAATTGAAGAGCGACAAAATCAATCGAGGAATAATAAAAAATTATTGGTTTAGGGGAGGAGGGTATTCTAGAGAACAGCCCCCTCATTGTATGTACGCTAGTGCGCTACGATAAAATATGTTAATAAATATTATTGTCATGTTTGAGATACAATATATTGATGTATTCAGGTATAGCTAAAAATATTAATGTTCCATTGGCCGTGTTAAACTCATAGTTTAGGTAAAAAATAACTTAAAAGTAGTTTAAAAAATAAGTCTTGGTCACCAAAGAGTTATTTTGATATAAGTCTCCTCATCAAATATCATTGGTACAGCAGAGATATTAAGTATCTAAAGTACCTCCCCCCTTATTGCACCTATGTTATTGTTATTAAATGGATTTTTATGAAAAATATCCTATTCTAAACATTTCTTATTTGTCTCTTGAACTATAACTCTTGTCTACATCAGAACTATCTTGGAAAATGCTTAGTTATATTTATAAAAAAGTTGTTTCTAAAAAGAAGTTATTAATTACTGATAACTAAAATTAATTTTTAAGCTTTTATTATTAATTCAAACATTTTATATTCTATGCAAGTTGGTATCTTTTTTTATACCACATTTGAATGTATCAGTTAATTTTCTTATTTAATCCATATAAAAATGTTGTCGAGAATTAAAATAAATTATTTATTACTACGTATAATAATAGTTTTAATAGTTCGTATGTTAAATTTTAAAAATAAAATACTGCTACTGGAAATTTGCAGGTATATAATCACTTTTTAATTAAAACTGAGCATTAAAATTTATTTTAAAATGTAAAAAATAATCTTTAGATTCTTGTACTGGTTATAGTATCACAATATCTAACAATAATTAATTTATTGATTTATTGTAATTAATTTATATTTTTTAAGGCAAATCATTTTATAAGCAATGGAAATTGGTTAATCATTATGAACAGAATAAATACATTATTTCGGTCAAAATCTACCAATTCAAATAATGATTTAGGTAAATTGCTCCAAAAGATGAATAAAGATAGTAAACTAATATTTGGTCCTTTATTGGAAACCAGTAAAATGAAAAAAAAACGTCTCAAAACTGCTAATCAAATAATTTATGATCTTAAATGTCAAAATGAAACTTTCCTCAAGAAAATTAGGTCAAATATATATCTTGTAGAAAGTAGTACAGGTATATTAAGGCAGGATTTTCATTTACTCTAAATATTCAAATTAACTTAGTAATTAAAATTTAGACAATATAGATATGGTAAACAATTTAAAACCGAAGTTACTTGAAAAAAACTACCATAGTTTATCTCTTGTTTATGATACAACTCGAGAAGAAATTTCTAAAATTAAATTCCCTTCAGTAACAAATGTATTGAATGCCACTATGCCGGAAAAATCAAAAATAGCTTTGGAAAAATGGAAAAAGAGTATGATTGATAAATTAGGTGAAGAAGAATTTAATAAATATACACAAGGTAATGTTTCTATTTACTATTTCTTTGTTATTACTTTAATAAGTGGTAACTGGCACAAAAAAAATTAATATTCTACATATATATTTAGAACAAATGATGATGGGAACTGAATTACATAAAAGAATTCGGTCTCATTTCATGGGTGACAAAGATTTTGTGTACAACTATACTGAAGTAGAAAAATGCTGGAAAAGTTTGGAATCAGTGTTACAAAATATTTCTAAACCAGTTGTTGTAGAAAATATGGTAGTACACAAAGATCTTGCTTACAAGGGTGTTGTAGATTGCATTGCGTTTCATAAGTAAATATGTTAAAACATTTTTATCTAGTAGTAGGAAATTCTAATTTCTTTTTCTAAATAATGTAAGAGGAATTTGAAGTGTGAATTCATTTTAATTTGTTGTTAGTTTTTCCTATATTTATGCACCAATTATAAATTCATTGATCATTACAAAAAAATATTATGAGTCTCTTTTTTTTTTTTCAAACTATTTTCTAGTCATGTATAAATCTAGTAGTTTTAATTGAGGTGGACATAATGCCCATGCACTCAGACCTGTTTTTTCATTGTGGGCACCTCATACCGAATTGTCTTGATTGGGTTTACCCACCTAAGTTTTATCACCAAAGTGAATATATCTCTAGTAAGTTTGTAAACAAATTAATTTATTATTGAAAACAAAAACAACTTTAAAATAATAATAGAAAGTTTAATTTATTTTATGAAACTAAAAAGCTTGGTATAGTTAAGGTTTTTCTCTGTATTTAAAATAACTTGGATTAGATTTTTTTATATTAATTGTTATTATATCACACGTCTCATGATTCTTGACTAAAATTGAACTTATGTCACTGATTTAATAACTAATTATGAGAAAAACTTCATGTATTGATGTGTGCAATGTCTTTCCCTACATCCAATCCTGTATTAGTCATAATGATTTAAATTAAAGTTAAAATAAATTTATTGGTTTACTACTTAACGTTGGTTTAAAAAACATTTTAATCTGAAAAGTTAACTTTTTTCTTCATATTTATTGATTGACTCATTATTAACATATTAAAAAATATTATATTAGTGACACACCTGTAGTCATAGAATGGAAAAAATCATCAAAACCTAAACGAAGTCTTAATTATACATATGATGCTCCAATTCAGTTAGCTGCATACATAGGAGCGGTAAATAATGACCCATCTTATAATTTTAAAGTAAGTCTTTAATTTGTATTATATTGAATATATTTAAATAAAATACATATATTTTATTTGTATAATATTTTTAAAGTGTCGTGCCCCTAAAATGTGAATTTAACTCATTGATGTAATATTTTTTTTAATTTAAATTTTCATAGTAATTATATAATTGGCTTTTAACAAAAAAAAATGTTGATAAAAATTATTTATTATACTATTGTTTAAACTGAATAGTAAATTACTATAAATTTTAGTAATTAATTAATATCCATTTAGAACTTATTTAAATTGATTGTAATCAGTTTTGAAAATTGTGTACTATTTTTTTTGTATAGGTTGAAGAAGGGTTAGTTGTTATAGCATACTGCAATGGCTTACCTGCTAATGTTTTTAAGTTGACTAATGACAAGTGTCTTAAGTATTGGTCATTTTGGATTCAAAGACTTAATGAATTTAAAAAAAGCCATGTAAATGTTATATAATAATTCTATTTTATTTTATTAATCATAATAGTAATGCAAATTATAAAAAAATTTATGATTCTGAATTATTGACTTCTGATTCATCAGAAACTTTAACTTTTTCTGCCATTTCAACAAATTTTTTACCCAGTCTAAAAAAATGAAAAAATAATTTTAATATACTTTTTTGTGAATTTAAAGAAATACTTATTTATTATAGTATAAATTGTAATATTGTATTATATTGTATTAGTATAATATTGTATACATTTTTGCTGATAATATTTGTATAACTATATTGAATTACTAAACGAATAATCTGTAATATTAACTAAAAGCTAGAATTATGTTTAATTGTTAACAACAAATAGAAGTTTTAATTTAAAAGTGAAATCTGAAATTTTATTTTTTTAATTACTTATTAATTTCTTCTTCAAGTCCCCGATTTGCTTCTTCAATTTGTTGTCTTTGAGCAGAAATTGCTTTCATACGTTCCTGTAGAAGCTGTATCCTTTCTTCTAATAAAGCTTCCATACTTTGAGCTCTGTTGAATATACAAAGAAGTTCGTTTTCATGAGAGTACTGTATAAAATAACAAAGTAAAAAATAGTGTGCATCAAAAGTGATAGGTCATTGATATGATGAAAACTATAATTAGCCAATAATTTTGAAGTTGTGCCAGCAAATGTTTTATAGGTGTATAAACATACTTATAACTATGATATAGAAATTTTAGTTGATATAAACTACTTTAATTACTGTTTGATTAATAGTTCAAATTTAATATTTATCCATATTTAATACATTTAATGAGTAGAATTACAAATAATTTATATTTACTTCCAAATTATAACTATGATAGTTATTGTACTTTTAAGTATATGTTGTATAAGTAATCTACTGTCTTAAATTAAATTATTGATCTGAACTGTATTACTTAATTGATACTTGTGTATAAGAATTGGGGCGGACTGGACAAGGGTGAAATTGCCCCTTTGATCGCTGTTTATAGATTGATGACAGCCGCTATGAATAGCGTGATCTGCTATATCTTACTAAGAATTATGTATAACATATTATAAATATGTGAGTATGTACTGAAATTTCATATTTTAAGAATAAAAATTAATTTTTAATTATATTAGGAACTTATAATTTCAAGGCGTTATATACATTTTCAAGCGAACAGGACTGTCACAATTTTTATGCCATTGGGCTATTCGCCTCTCAGTCAAGAGTAGAAATTAAATAAACTGATAATTAAAAGCAAATATAAATTTTAATTCCATTACAGTTATATAAACCAAAATTTCATACATTTATACTATCAATTTTCAAAATTATGTTCTCAGAAAAATAGCTATTAATTATCTTAAAAGCTATTATACTATATTTTATTTTTATTTAAATTATTAGGAAGATTTTCTTGTAATAAAGCTCTAAGTAGAATAATTTCATTGAAAGTCATTATTTGGATTACCACCTCACAAAGTTGCATAGCCTTTTAAAATTTTTTTTTTCTTTGTCATAACTTTATAGTTTAAAGCAATTCACACCAAAAAGTCAATATATAAATACATTGTATTTGTAGCCACTTTTTAAGTTTTTCATTATACATCCGTTAAAAAAAATGATGTAATACACTATTGTTAACTGTAAGAATAAATATGTATCGTCGTAAAAAACATACACAAGTAATCATTGATTCTTTTCTATCATCAACCACATTTCTTAAAGTTTTTCCGTAGTTGTTAGCCATCAATTGATAAAAGTATTTTTCAAGCACTTGTAAAATAATTTTTAAAAATTATCGTTTACTTAAAAACTTATGACATTTTATAAAAATTATATACTTTGAAAATAGTTTTCTATATTAGAACAAAAACTTAAACTTTCTTTCTTCATATTTGCGTATTTTTTAATAGTGTATTTTAAAACTTGAATTTTTCTTTGGCACAATTCTAATGTTTTTTGCTTCATTTTTAATTCAAATTTTAATTTGTTATTACGTAACTCCAAAGATTGTTTATACTCATTATATTTAGTATTATTTTTTAATTCAAATGTTTGCCACTCATTTATTCTGTTTGACAGTTTATTTATCTAAAATTTAGAGTACCAAAAATCGTGTTAATTATTCATAAAATTTGAACTTAATTGTAATAATAATCAATAATACATTGCAAAATGTGCGATTAAATATACAAAGTGATTCTCAATGTATCTAAATCATAAAAAATTTTTTTTTGTTTATCAAATGGTAACACATTAATAACTAGCTTAAAAGAAAATGACTGGTCAATTACAACTTTTGGAAGTTATAAACAATTTAAAGTAACGATTGAAGGTGAAGAGGAGTAGGTGGATGCAAATCTGTAGATAGTGTTTAAATTTAAGAAATTGGTGGATAGTTACAAAAGCAACATCAACTCTTATTTCCTTAATTATATCCTGATTAGCGGTTCTTTGATTTTAAAGTATAATATATGAATAAATATATATTTCTTTACTTTTAACGCGTATAAAAAATGTTTTTTCTATTTATGAATAAATACACTGGACATTTCATCAGAATCAAAAATAGACTTTTCTAATACAACTTATCGCGCTATTTTTAAATTTGCAATTAGAAGAATTCTTCTATCACTTCTAATCTTTGATATTATTACTAATTACATATAAAATAATAATTAAAACAAAAAAAAATTTGTTTTCAATTGATAACTGATTTTGATTTTTAATACGTGTAAAAATAATCAATGCAAAATGTCATTTTTAACCTATTTTTTTGGTTCATTAAAGTTGTTTTTTTGTGAAAGTTTATAGTAAAAATAAACTGGACTACAAGGAACTTTCATCAGAAACAAAAATATAATTTCCTAAATTAACTTTTCGCGCTGTTTTCAAATTTTAAATTAGACTTTTTCTATCTCAAATTTTTAAAAAGTTAAATAAATTTAACTTTCTATGCTATGTTAATTATATTTATGAAAATCTGTGTACTCCCCTTGTAAGGTATTTTAAAATAAAATACAAAACCCAAAATTTTAACAAAAAATAGCATATTTTTGAATACGAGGACTATTTTCACTATGAAGACAAGTCAGAGGTCAATTTTTTTTTCAAATTAAAGTATATTACATTTAATTTAAGATATATATAAAAGTGTCAGTATTTCCGGAACTTAATCAAAAGTTAATTATGTGTGAAAAAGTTGCCATTTCAAAACCCACCCTGTAGACAGTTAATGGGTCAAATGTTCATAAAAATATATTAAATGATAGGTAAATACCTAAGATATCTATGAAAAAGAATTATATTAATTTGTTAATTTTTAAAAAAGGTATGGCAGTTTAAAAAAAAAAAAAAAAAAAAATTGAAAAAATGTCAAAAATTACCAATTTTTAAAATCGTAATTTTTTGGAGGATTTTTACTATTTAAGGGGAATGAAGGTAAAATTTTCAATTTTCGAGGGTATTGTTTTCGACTAGATACAATTTGTGATTTTTTGACTTATTAATCATCAAAATCGGTCCACTGAGAGCTGACATTGAGCGTTCACAAACACAAAAAAAAATTAAGACACATCGTAGTAAAATTAATACTTTCTCAGCTTCGCATCGAAGCTAAAATGCTGCTTTAGATAAAAAAAATTTAAAGAACAAAATTGTTTGTAGTTATTTTTTCTATAATATTATAAAGTTAAAAATTGCGATTCTTATTTAGGAAAATTATAGTTAATGATTATTATCGCTACAGGGATAAAAAAATTATTTAACTACATATTATAGTTAGAGAGATAGATAAAAGGTCATGGATCTAGAAAACAATTTGAAAAAGTTATTTTCTAAATTTACCAATTACACCCAACTTTTTTTTTTAACCCCAAATTTTAGAACCAAATTTCTAAAAAAAAGGAAGATACTAAGTTATATAGTTCGTATGATACAAGATACGAATTTTAAACTAGCAAAAAATTGCCATAAAATTTTTGTTAGTTTGATTATTAACAATTGATTGTTATACCCCATACCAATATGGAAATTTCAATTGGTAAACAAATAAAATAAAAAAAATGAGGAAATCAATGAAATCATCCACCCCACCCATAAAATATGTATTCTCTGTAAAATCATGGAATTCAATGTTTCATCTATTTGTGGCAATCCTGAAAACTCCATACTGCTGTAATATTCAAAAGGATATCTAATACTCGAGTGAAGATAAATTCTTCACAGCATAGTAACATTATTTGACATATATGAATCAAAACTAGAAACCGAATTTTGTATTAGCGAATTATATTTACTTTAATTGACACGTATTAAATAACGCGATAGAAGATAACACTGTCTAACATAACAATTTTTAATGTTTTATAGATTTACTTCTTCTAATATTTGGTTCGTGTGTGTAATGCTTTTTTTTAGGTTTTCAGATATTTTTAAATTCAATTTTAGATATTCTTGGTCTATATTACTATTTTGATTTTCGTCAAATAAATCAATTTTGATAATTTTTTTGTTTCTCATTTTGTATATATTTTTTTTAACTGATCTAAATAAATATCAAACAAAACGATTTGTTTTAGAACTCATATATAATTGAAAATATACAGTACAGTATTTAAAAACTAATTATAAACTTTACTAATTATAAATTTATAACTAATTTTAAAACATATTTCATTCTTCTTCTTCTTTTACTTCGTATTTATCCTAAAAAATTGGGGTTGGCCACCCTTATCCTAAACTTTCTCTTGTCACGATCTCCCACATCATCTACGCATACATCAGCTGTCCTCATATCACATTCAATAACATCCCTTCATCTCTTTGTTGGCTTCTTTCTACCTCTTCTTCCCTCAGCATTCATTTCCATAACTATTTTTAGAGCTTCCGATTCCTCTCTCCTCATAACATGACTAAACTATCCGAATTTATTTTCTTTCATCTCGTATACGATTGACGCTACACCTATACTTCCTCTTATATGTTCTTTCCTTATCCTATCTTCTCTAGTCACTCCCACTAATCTATCTAAGCATTCTAATCTCCTCTACACTCATACTCTGCTCTATTCTCTTGTCGACCGCCCAATACTCTGAACCATACATCATAGCTGATTTCACTACAGTCTTAGTAACTTACCTTTCAGTCTCATTGGAATTCTCTTACCGCATAACACTCCAAATTTAAAACATTTTCATAATATTTTATTATTTGAGTTATTGTAATTTTATTAATTTTACATCTTTTTTAAATATCAAATTGTATTCATTTCATTTTTTAATTCAGTATGCAAAAATATGATATTAACTCCTTTCCCAATTATAGAAACCTTTCCATTAAATTAAATTTAGTGATATTTAAATAGTATTGTGTACTTTATTTCATCTGATATCATTCTTTCTTTTTGCTTCTGCTTGATTTTGTTTTTATTTAATATCTTTTTTTTTCTTTCTGCTCTAGAAAGCCGTAATTTTAATTTCAATAATATTTTTATTTTTGAATTAATATTAGCAGATATTTTTTTATTAAACTGATGGCTGTTTTGAATTCCTAAGATTAAAATAAAAATAAATATAATTGGTGTTTAATAGGGTTTATATCCCATTACACTGTTGTATAAAAAAATATTTTTTATATTGAAGTATCAATTTTATCATGAATAAATTATATTATTTATTATTTATTTAGTTGTTTTTAAAAAACTTGCCTTTTAAAAATTCTTCATTTCTTTTAAATTCATATTGAATACATTTTCCCAAAAGTGCCTCTATTTCTTTACACTATGGAATTAACAATACAATAAATAAATAACGTAAAAGGTGTTTAATCGATAATGAAAAATTTGTTTTATAGCTCACAAACTTGAATCAAAGAAAACTTACTTAAATTTTTTAGAGTAGAAGTATTTAATAATCATATACACAAAAATTTTCCAGTTTTAAGTAAATTGAGGGTTGTATAATTTTTTGATTATTTACTTTCTCTCCCTGTATTAGTTGACTATTTTCATAGTAAAAATTTATAATTTTTTCTTAGAAACTAATTCCAAATTATGGAAATAGTACCTGTATGATAAATTCTGTAGAAACGTTTATGATAATTTAGTTAAGTCAATGAATACATAATTTCGTTGAACTTAATCAGGGCAGTATTAAGAATTGTATTGTATTAGGGGTGGAATCTTAAATTACCATTTAACAAAATATTAAATTAATAAAAAGTAAAAAAGAAACAGGTTTTTATTTAAATATATTTTGGTAGACAAGTAAAATTCAAATTGGGCACCGGGGCGCACGCCCTCCAACGCTCTCCCATTAATCAGGTACTGTTCTAGATATCGTATATTAAATTTTTTTTTAAACAGCGTTTTTAATATGTTACCTCATTTATTTTTATTGAAAATTCACCAATCAAATTATTATTAATAAATGTATAATCATTCCAATCGAGTAATAATGATTCCCTGTAATGAACAATGATTTATAAAATTTATAAATCATTTAATGACTTGTAATAAAATATTATAATAAAAAAATTTAAGTAATGTGTACAAGTGATTATAGAGGTTGTATAATGTTTATAAAAGTTAGAATCTAATAGCTTTTTTTAGGGTTATTATATGTGACAAAGTTATGTAACTTTTTGAAACAAAATGGCTATAAACCTATTAAAAATAAAAGTGGCTTAAAAATAATCAAGCAAAAGGTATTCCTTTTTTAGACTTTTTGCCCGTGTGATAAAGTACATTAATTTCTTGAAAAATTTCAATTTTTATTTAAAATTAAATAAAAATTGAGCTTTGTATAAATTTAATTTTTATTATGGAAGTTAAATTTTCAATTCTAACAATTCCTATTTATGAATTAAGGTGCTATTTTTATATCTAGGCACAAGTTTTTTTGGTGAAGTCTTTAGTTAAATTAAATTTATTAAGTCTTTTAATAGTCTCAATATAAAACTTATAGATAACTACCACTTTTTTTCTGCGTTAGATTTCAATGCATTGCAAGTAACTACTTCTTTGTTTAAAGCATTTTCAATTTCTTTAGAATTGTGCATAAATCCTACTTCTTTATTTAAAATATCTGAACTTTCTTTTTGAAGTTCTTTTATATCTTTTAATGCAATTTCATTATTCATAAGATTACTAAAAATATTTAAATATATGAATATTAAATTGTGAATTATGTTAATTTTTACTACTTTATTTACACTTATAATTTTAATTTATTAAAAATTATTTTTCTGTTTCTAAAATAGTTAATTTTAATATAAATTCAAAAATTAATTATTATGGTTATTAAAAATTATTATTTTAATTTATAAATAGTTTAATTATTATTACATGCTTCGATAACATTAGCGAACAATTTTTTATACTCGGGTGTTTATACATAATTAAATGGATATATATGAAAATGAATAATTTACTATTGTATAATTAATAATATATTTTAAATTGTTTTAACAAATTTGTATATTTTAAAAATTTAATAAGTTTAATTTCATTTCCTGGGTATGGTTCGAGGGTGTCAGCTAAGTGGTGGCTTATTTTGAACAGTTTATTATATTTTTGTAGCTGATATTATGTAAAATACTCTCTCATTAAAAAAAAAAAATAATTTATAATATAAGCATATAAATATAACATAAAGAAATATACAGAGTATTCAGTAAGTAAGGAAACAGGTTGGATTTGTTATAAACAATAGAAAACATTTCCTTACTTACTGAGCATCATAAATATAATATAATATAAATTTATTTATTGATCTGATAGAGATAAGTGTTTATAATGTTAAGTTGTAACCCTTTGAAAAGCAAACCAATTTTTTATAATATTATTTCTTCCTTACAAAAAATTTTGGCGACAAAGATGTTATTTCCATTCAAAATATGTGCAAATGAATTAGTAATTTATAAAAAAAACGATTTCACTGCATTTTTTTAATATTATTTTTTTGTGAAGAGGGTATAACAAATATATATACATATACAAAGTAAGTTATGTTATCGGTTTTTTCTTTAACAACTATTTCCAAAATTATTTTAAAAATAAAAAATTTTTTTATTAAATTAAACCAGAAATTAAACTCAAATAGAAAAAACTTACTTCATACATTGTGACAAAAAATTAAATGAATCACAATTTTCTTGTTGGGCTATATCACACTTTATCCTAATATTTTCAATAATATACCGATAATTTTGTTTCATAATGTCTATTTGATTTTCTAAATCCCGCATAGGATTTCCTAATATTGGACACTACAAATAAAATTGTACGACAACTGTAAAATTAGGAGGTATTTTATCATTTTTACTATTGTTATTCAAATTTTTTTAAACTTCTTTTGTTAAATTTAAAAATGTTAAATAATTTTTGTCAATGAAATTAAATTTAAATTTTTTATAAATATATATGTTATAATCGAAATATTTTTCTAAATAAAATATCTTGCTAGTTAAAGAATAGTCTAAATTCGTAATATAAAATTATTTATTTAACTTCTTACTTTAGAAACTAGAATTTTGTTTAAATGTTTATTCGATTTTGTAATTTCATTATCATCATAACAAAATGTTTCATTACTATTTGATGATATTTTTTTTCTAAAATTAATTGAATTTTCTATCTTTTTTCTAACACAAATTTTATTTGTTATTAAGCATTTAAAATGTGTTAATTAATACTAACACACTTATTGTAACACTTTTTCTTGTCTAGCAAACTACGATCACTGTTTTTTTTGTTAAAAGAAACATACGAATGTGTTGGAATTTCTGAAAAAAATTTTTTATTTTTAATTTACACATTTTAAAAATATTTTGATTCTAAAATGAATCATGAAAAATTATTTTAAATAAAATAGGAGCCTAAATATTAAAATTACAAATTTTGAAAATAAATAATACAAATTTTTAAAGTTAAAAATATCAACAATATTAATTCAACTTTAAATGTGATTCTTTATGCATTTTTTAGTTACTAGTTTTTATTTCTGAAATTAATTTTTAGTATAATTATACTTTTTATAAAGTATATACTAAAAAGAAATTTACTATACTTTCAGGTTTTTCTATTCCATAGTTATTGTTAACTGCAGCTCTCCTAATTATCTCATTACAACTCCATTGCAATCTTTTTAAATCATTACAAATATATAGATAAATATTTTGTTCTTTACCTATGTGCACAACCAACAAATAACTTATTATTATATTCGTTTTGATTATTCAATTAAATAATCAATAGATATTAAATAATTTAATAAATTGAAAACGTATTTTTTTAAATTATTATTATTATAATTATTAATTTTCATTTAAGTCAATATCGCAGTTTCTAATTAAGTAACAAACGTCAGTTCAATTTTGTCAATAAACTTAATAATATATACGATGACAAATAAAAATAAAACTATAGATACTGATAAAATATTTACAATTCTAATTTGCTCACTTGTCACTAATGTAGCCAAACGTTCAAGTAACGAATTCAATGAAGCCATTTTCAGATTCTTATATAAATCTATGAAAATAAAACAACGACAATCGAACAAAAATAATTTATAAACAATCAATATTGATTTCTATTCATTGCTATAGAATAGTCAATGGTTTATACATAGTTTAAACTTAATTGTATAATTAAAAATAGCCAATTAACAATAAATAACAATTATAATTACATTTATAACATATTATTAATTTTTTTAATATTAAATTAGGTGTCATTATTTATTTCATACAAATATAAACATTATATTTTAATTATATAAATCTATCATATAAACACCTAATTATTATATATTAGATTTCAAATTGACATTATGGAATCGTTATACATTTTGCTCGCAATTATCATCTTTTTGAGCTCAATTTATTATTTCGTGATTTTAAACTTATCACGAAAATCAATGGTAAAATGTATTTGTTTACTGGAATATAATCAAACTATTATGATATGATTTACACCGTGTTAACGAAGACGTTTCAAATTCTACTTTCGGTGTAACCTTTAATTAACGTTTCTATTATAAGTTTGATTGTGATTTTGTAAATTGTTTCAATATTTTCTGTAAATCGATCACCCAGTGTTGTTTTTACTGCTTCTAAGAAAGGTGCTTCGATTTTCTAAAAAAAAAATATCTATTAATTTCACAATATTTTAATTTTTACATAACATTCTAATTTTACTATTTTATAAGTAAACTTTAATGATTTTTGTAAAGACATTATCAGAAACTTTATTTTTCAATAATTTTTATTAATCTCATTTTTTAATTATGAGCCTTCATAACTTTAGCTTAATACTGATTGTAAAATTATAAAAAATGTTTATAATAGTTTTTTTTACAATTTTTTATATAACGTGTAGTGTATAATATGAGCTCTAAAGCAACTTGTAACAGTACATGCGTGCTGTGCCCAGAAATAAAAGGGACATTATAAAAAATATATTGAAGTTAAAGACTAGGCCTTAAGGTGTCTGTATTCTTCTTGTCATACATGAACGCTAAATAAAGTAATTTTTTTTTTAATAGATTTTTGTAAAAACTATTGTATTTCTACCCCCGTGAATAATCTATACCTACGCTTCTGTCACCAAATAAAAACTCAAAATATTCGACGTTTTATAACGAATAACTGAATTTAAAAAAATTGAAATGCATACAATTATTTTCGTGTAAATGGAAAATTCCTGTTGTAATGACACGTTGTATTTTAACATTGGTATAATTTGAATAATTATATCATACAGTCATCTTTTTTAAACATAGCATAATGTCAATTGTTCATTCAAGATTAGAACAAAGCTATCTTTATCCAAACTAAATCTTGCATACATGTTAACCTAAATAAAAATTATAGGTATGCAGAATAAGTATTGAAATTTAAACTAATTTGAATGACAAAATAATAATTTTATTTTCAATTGTTTAAGTCAATAACACGAAACTTTAAAAACAAAACTTTTTATTTGACACGTTTATATACAGACAACTAAAACTAATAAGTTAATTATTTAAGTTTGAAATAGCTGTTCATGCCAGTTTGACTAATGTACTTACAAAAATACTTTCGTATAAGAGATATTGTGTACGTGTTGACAGTGATCAGCACTAGTTAGAGATTGAAATGTGAAAAAAATCACGTAAGTATAAATTACTAATTTACTATTTGGTTACTTCAATGAGTATTAAATTTAGCAAACTTGTCAATATATCAGTAGCATATTATGAATTTATTTTGTCGAACAGCACTCAAACCAAGGTTAAGATTTTTGGTATAAAATTAATGAGACCCTAATATCATTGCCGTCATTCAAGTTTTATATTTAATGCTCTGTTTCAACAAAGAATTTTGACTCAACGTGCCTTAATCCTAGCTTGGTGTCAAAGGGATCTTGTAGTAGTATGTACCTTTAAAAAATTACGTGAATGTACCAACCGGGTTATATTGAAATAATTTATTATGTGGTATAAATATTTATTTTTTGGAAGCGTTAATAAAAAAAATTCTTATACATCACGTGATCAGAAAATTGAATTACATATATAGTTGGAGCTACATGAAATACATACAAAGAGCAGAATTTTTTATAATACGGTATATCTATAAATTTAATAATTATAAAATTTTCGAGGGAATTAAAATCATACCCCCCACTCTAAATATATTTTTATATATCAGTAAATATAATTTTCTAAAGTTTTAAGAAAAAACATTTAAGTAAAAAATTGTAAACATTTATTTAATAAATTTTATAACTTATATATTATTATATTAAAAGTTTAGAACTAAAATTAGTAAAATATTAAAAGGTACTAATAGTGGGAGACTATAATTTGGAGACTCCCAATTATAATGACGTGATTAGGATGTGATGTGACATTGCATACTAAAAGCTATCTAATACACATAAATAAAACATTGTATTTACTTTGTTTAATATGATGTAGCTATTATTTTATTTTGTGTACATTAATGCTTTATTCTAAATACTTCGTGTAAAATTCATAAAACTCATACAAATTGCTACTATGAAATTATTTTTTTTATGGGATTATGTAGTTATAGAAATGAATGTTGAAGGAAGAAAAGGTAGAGATCGTGTCAAGTGGAAGTTTAGGATAAGGGAGGCCGAACCCAAGTAGTTGGAATAAAGGCAAGGAAGAAGAAGATGGAATTATGTATAGTAAACTTCATGAATGTTAAAATTTTAATTAAATAAATATGTTTTTTAGGAAAAATGTATGAATGTTTACTCAATACCTACCCAAAAAAAATCTGGATTAAAACCGGGTATAGTCTTATGGGTAGCGCCCACTTGAGTCAGATATTGGAAAAAGTTATCCAAGTTATCGAGCTCTTTAATGCCTTCGTCTAGAGTAGTCATCACTTTGTTTGCATGTTCAGCTAACTCCATACTATTAGCTTGCGCATCCTTGGTTTTAAGTTCTCCAAATTTAGTAAATAATTGTAAAAGTTCTTGATGTTCTTCAAATAGTCTATAACAAAAATATTCAAAATAAAATAGTCGTCATTATTAACAATTATATTGTTTCTTAATAAAGACTTATTTTCTGTTTAACTATTTGATGTTATCTTTCATATTAAAAATATAACATTTTGAATAACTAGAAGTTTTTTGCAGATACTTCCAACTTTGAGTAAAACAGATAGAACTCTATGTTAAACTTAAAAGACGTTACATTATTAAGAATTAAAATTTTTGATTTGATTATAGAGGAGTAGGAATTAACTCCCTAATTTAAGTCTCTAACATATTTCAAACAGTAGAGTATAAATGTATGTATAGCGGTTTATCAACGTTCAGACATATTAATTGTTAATAAAAAGACTAACTAATTTCATTAAAACAATTTAACTTCCTTTATATCATGTTTAATGTGATTGTTGTTCTCGGTGTGTCAGATTAATTTGCTCTCTATAAATTAAAGACAATTAAAATATAATTTACGTTTGATAAATTCAGACTGTTGATGATAGTATTCTAAATATGATTTGGTTTTACCCTCTATAAAGTTTAGGTTACGATGTTTATGTGATAATTTTATCGGAGTAACTTAAAATTCAAATAAGATATTGAGCGATAGTGAGCCTTTCCAAGAAATAACTGAATGAAATTGTAGCTTTAAATCAAAATGCACATTATCTTACTATAAGCATAAATTTAATAATTTGCATAATTGTCAGCTATGTGCATATTACCAGATGGACATTTATTTTAAAGTATTTAAATTTTAGTTATTAAGAATTATTGTATATTTTGTTATTGTTGACTTGCAAATTTCAGGTTTAAGACTTTTACTTTCATACTTGTACATTCTATTTTAACAAGAAAAAATGTATTTTATAATTTCAATAAATAAAATTCTATCTAAAATATTTTGATTCAATTATGTATTTATTAATTTTTATTTGTATAATGGACAGCGTAGGCGGGAGTTATAAAAAATGATTTTTACATTAATATTTGGTTAGAATATCTAATGAAAGTCCATCAAAAATANATGTTTTACATTAATATTTGGTTAGAATATCTAATGAAAGTCCATCAAAAATATTTTCCATAATAAAGAAATCTAGTGTAACAGATCATTTCATTCGATTTTCGCCACTTAGTTCGAAAGCTCAGAAGTCAATATAAAATTTATTTATTAATTAAATTAAAATAAAATAAAATAATCAACTATATAACTGAAATTGATTATACCAAAAAGATTTTATTTTTGGACAATATGTTTTAAAAAATACTGCTCAATCAGAAATTTTGTAAAGTATCAGTGTTGACAAAATATTGTACCAGTATTGGCAACTGTCCATTAGCTGGCGTAGCATTGTCTAGCGTCTTGTCAAAGTACAGATCCAGTATTGATAGGTAGCATTTACCTACTATTGTTGACTGAGTACTACCGTAATACTGTTTAAAAAATTGTTCAGTACGAAAAAAACGTTATAATCCCACACATGTACCAATATTGGTTCAATATTGAGAGTCGTTACTGTACAAGAACTGCAAATACTGATGCTGTACTACACTTGTTGTTAATTTCTGATGGAGTGATGACCTTTGTTGAAAATAAATACAAGACATCATAGCTTCTTTACAATTTGTCCAAAATGTCTTGGTTTATTTCATATAATATAAAAATAAGTCCTTTATTTCAGTTTAAATTGAAATTTTTTATTAGCAGTTGCCTTATATAGCTCAACAGTAAATTTAGAAACACATTGTATCAAAAATCCATTTTTTATTACTACAATGGTTCAAGTAATTTTTTTTGAAACACTAGGATAATCTTCTAATTACTTTAATATATCTTAAGCTAGAGATCATTTGATATCAAATTCCCTTTTCTAGACAAAAATGATTATATAGTGAAGATATACAGAATGAAAGAGATCTAACTGACTCTTATAACTTTAGATCCAATAATCATTTGGCTGCAATTTTTGCAATGATAAACTACATTAAAAGCATATTTTTAATAATAAAAATAATTTTTTCAAAACTTTAAAATATTTTTTTTTAGATCGTTTCTTACAAAAAACTTTAATGGGTCAATAGCAATTTTAGCACGAGTAATTATTGGGTTATAAGTATTTTAATATACACAAAGTGGGTGGCAACATACTGAAACGATATAACCCGAGGCTACTGCTACCCTTCGTGATTTTCGATTTAAGTCAAACGGTAAAGTAATTTATAAGTGAGATGGGGATACTTATCCTCCTCTATTATAAAAAAAATAAAAAGGATTTAAGTGTTAGTTATAAATATTTTTATGCAGAATTTATCCAGCTTTTAATGCCAATTCATTAAATGTGTAAAAAGAAAGGGGTTGCCCTAACCAAATAATGTTCTTGTTATCAATAGCTTATGAATATAAATTACCATTTCAATTTCATAACTAAACTAATAAATAAGTAAAGGTCAAAATAATATGTAAAAAAAATTAACTTTTTTTTTTTTTTGATAACTTCATACTTACAATTATATAAAACGTTTGCCATACTTGTAACAAAATATACAACTACTTTATAATTTTGCCGTAAAAATTGCAATACTAAATTATTGAATATCAATTTCATTTTAAATTTAATTGCTATAATATGTATTTATTATATGTAGGTTATATTTACAAATCATAAAACTTATAATTAGAATATAATTAAGAAAATATGAGTTGTTTGTTTTTGGAAGAATCCAAAAATCTTAAAAATTAAACACTATTAAGAAATTTGCATCGAAATGTTTTTTTGCGATAATGACTTTAATCACTATCAGATATCATCTATATTTGTTCCAACTATGCTGAGTCCCAATTATGCAGAGTTTTTTTAATTTAATGGAACAATTTGAAATGAAGTTTAACGAAATGACAATTCTTTTGATAAAATATCTTATTTAGTTTAGTTATTGATTTTATATCATAAATAAGTTTAAAGAAATTTATTGTTTTCAGGATTATATTAGATTATAATTTCTATAAATTGATGATTGAATATATTTTTAGGATAAATTATTATTTTGTAAGCATATGTTGCTTTTGTCAATTTGTTTATCTCCTTAAATTGAAAAAACCTGTCCTGTGTGAAAACAAAAAAAAAACTGATAAAATTATCAAATGGTAAACATATTGTTTTTAATGCATTAATATGACTTTTTTTTGTATATACAGGTGATCCATGAGTAATAAACCAATTGCTTACAAGTAAAATTATTTTTTTTGCATTTTTCTGTTACATAAAATTCTTGATTTATCCACTATTAAGTATTTTTTTCTTATGCGTTATAAGAGATTTAACTTTTTTTTTCAATGGAAACATATATTTTCAATTCGATAAATCGATGGAAGTATCTTTTTTTTAATTTATAGCGTTTGAATTTTTTACAAAACTTAGTTTATTTGATGTAATAATTTAAAGTTTCAATTCTTTGAGTATAGTTATAGGTTTTATAGGTATTATACACTGTTAAGAATCATGAACACTTGTATTACTACTAAGCCATTTTTTACTGCCCGATAGTTTTTGTCAATTATCGGTTTACTGATAGACTGGTTAAAAATTTTTCTTCTTCTTCCTCGCCTTATCTCAACTACTTGGGTTGAGCCTCCCTTATCCTAAACTTCCACTGGATATGATCTCCTACATCCTCTACGTTCACATCAGCTGTCCTCATATGGCATTCAATAACGTCTCTCCATCTATTGTTTGGTCTTCCTCTACCTTTTCTTCCTTCAACATACATTGCTATAATTGTTCTAAAATCTATTTTTTTCTTATTAAAAATAAAATTTTTTCTTGTTATAAATAAAAAAATATGTTTAACGTAATCTAAGAAAGCAATAATTATTTAAAAAAAAGCTGTTAACAAAATAATTATTGGATCTGTTAATATACATCTGTCTTCGTAACGCTATCTTTCTTTCTCTTTTTCTATATACATATCAAATTATATATATCAAAAATGTTATTATATAAAATTTTATTTCTAGTCAATATTTTCTCAATTTATTGTAATTTGTCATACTTCTATAAATCAATTTATAATTTACTTCAAATATATAGGTATACCCGAAATGAGTTTTCTAAGAAATTGCTGTTCGCTTAAATGGCATCAAAAATAATACGCCTTGAGAGTAGATTTATTTAGTTCTCTAGGGTCCTATAAAAGAATATTGAATAAAACAGCCTCTGTAACTATAAGAGGACAATACCATAAAAGTTCTAAGTCACGTATTTTAAGCTATACAACATTTGTATTATAATACTAAATAATTTTTTTTTAACTGGGGGAAAATTATCATAAGCTTTCCAATTTTGTATTTAAATTTACTTATGGCTAGATCTCTAAAATCTTGGCGGATTAAGTGTAATTTTTAATTACTTTAACATTGTAAAATAATTAATAAATATTTCATTATTTAATATAAATAACATTAAATAAATATTTCTGGAACTTTAACACCATCTGTGTATATACAGTAGTTATATTTAAAAGATACTATGTTAAAACATTTTATCTTCTAAATTGAAGTATTATTACAACTATCTAAAAATGTTGAACGTCAAACTTTTCTTACAAAAAAAAAATAAATACATCACAAAACTCTACAAATAAAATCTAACTGTTTTCCTTTACTTAAATTAAATTATTGAAATTTTTAATCTTAATCCAATTAAATACAATTGAACGATTCCTTTAAATATGAGCAAGTAATCTATTGCAAAGTGTTCATAAAATAAACTCGAAAAAGTTTTATTAAATACAGAAAGAATTCATTGAAGAATTTCAATTAGTATCTTTGAATAGTACGTTCAACAATCATTTCATTCAATGGTGATCAAAATCAATTTTTCTCTTTAGATTTTTATATACAGATAAATTTAATAAGACAAAACTTAAAAAAAATTTTCTTAAGTATTATATTGGATATTTTTACTTTTGTTTGTTCTTGTGTTAATACATAATTAATGAAAATTAATTGAAATTGTCTCATTATCTTTATTTAAATATAACCTATAAATTGACAATGTTTCATAATTCCTATCGTTTGATATTAAACAGCCATTTGAAGTTTATATTATCAACTTCGTTATTTCAGATGTCCAAACTGTTTTTAAATTAAAACAGCACGGGTTCTTGTATATATAAATGAAATGAATAATAAATAATTCTATAACGACTGTAAGACAAGATTTGTATTCTTAACTGACGTATTTTTCAGACACGTGGATGTGATTTGTTTAAATAATTTTTGTTTCAGCTATTTAATATCTATAGACATATCCTGTACAAATAAAAAAGTACATTAGCGGATGTATAACTAGAAAATATAACATTATTTAGTTGGATAATGCATTTTATTATTGTCAATAATCGAAATGAATTTTCATTTATTACTATGTAGTATTATTAGATTGACTTAAATCAATCTGAGCACTTTATTATGTTATCGATATTTTCAATTACTTTTGAGGGAAACTATTGAAAATATAGACACAATTATTAGTTTTTTGATCATGGTTATAAATTGCATTAAATGTGGTAATATAATATTTATTATTACAACTTTCAATATGTAATATTTGATAAGTTTAATATTTTAATTTTAACTTTTTAGTCATTTTATGAAAATAGCTAATTACGAATGAAACAATTGCTTTTAGGTATAATTTTAGAAATTTGTTTTTTTATTTTGCTCATAATAATAATTCATACAAATATAATTATAATCGTTGTACCGTTTATATATCTTATTTAAATATCATATTTGTCTGGCCTTTTCGTCTGCACATTAGTATTAATAGACAAAGCAGCTGGTAACCCATTTCGATACATGAATTAGTTGCAGAATCAGTACCGATACAAGGTTAGGATAAGTGGGGTACGTGTCCAGGCCCCACATTTTATGGGGCAGCTTCACAGATAGCAATAATTAGGGGAGTTATGTTTTGGGAACAGAGTATACATAAGAAAACATTTTGTTACCTCTTCCAAATGAAAAAGTTGAATCTTTTTTAAGTAATATGTATAGATAATACATATAATAGATTTATTTACAATATCATTATACTTTTGTGAAATAACTTTAACTTATGATATATTAATATTAAAAATATTAATATTAAAATATTAAAATCTTATACTATAATAATAATATACCTAATCTCGTTTTCATTAAAAAAAAAAAAATTATAAGTGATAATTTAGATTAAAACTTTTATGAAACATATACATACACAGAACTACCATATAACATGATAAAATTATTTTTACTTTTGTCTTTTACTTGCAACATATACAAACGTTTGATACCGTAATATGAGAATATAAAAATTAAAAAACTTTTAAAACTTTAAAATGCTACAGTTTTACTACAAAAAATGAATAAAATAATTTTGTGCCAAATTTTTTCTTAAAATCTACTCCACAAAGTATAAATCTTGAATAAAAATAAAAGAATACATTACTTTTTAATTAAAAAACAAAGTAAAGCAAATTATTAACTGAATTAAAAATTAAAAGATGTGATATTATTGTTATTTCTTTTGTATAGGTATTTTTTACTGAAATGAACAACAATAATCTACAATTTGAAACATACGTTTTATCTAAAAACTATATTTCTTCTATTGATAATACTCAATAACTTTTTTTATAGGATAGTAGAAGAAATTGTTTTAATCTTTTAATCTTTTAATCAATGAATCATATTTAAATCAGTGTTTGTTAAATAGTAGCTGAATATTAACAAGCCGATTAAAGTGTAATTAAAATCATCAATGTGTAAATAATAATTCGAATCATAGCAGACTGTTATTCTATACTCGTTAATACATCTAGGATTTTATTTGAGAATTATTAAAATACTATTTTCTTAACATTAAGAACATTAAAATTTAAGTTCAAAATTGTTTAAAGAAATCAATGATTTTTGGTTATTCAAAATTATTTTTATCTTATAAAAATAATAAAATACTACTATTGAAAATATTATCCTCTTAAAATACAAAAACTTTTCTTAATTAGATGAGCTCGAGTAGCTTTAAAAGTCCACTTTTTTATGCTTAAGTTAATATACGTCGTGTAAAAATATTTTTTTTTTAATTAAAAATATTTTTCTGTTTTTAATGTTTACTTTCGTTTATAGTAAGAAGTATACAACAGGCAAAAATGTTCGAAAATTACATTGTCTTTATTTGACTATTCAATAAGAAATTTAAAAATCTTAACTAATATGTTAAATAATAAAAAAAGTCATGCAATACACGCTAGTAGCTTTTTTAATTATATCTAAGATGTGATATTTATCCTATGTTAGCTCAATAGTAAATAATTTTCAAAAATATAGTCTTCAGTCTAACATATTCCAAAAAATATATATTAGATGAAATCTGTGGTCATACTATTAAGATATTCTCGCCTATTCTCTCTCTCTCTTTCAAATAAAACAAGGCTGCTAATTACCTGCGCTGCACTGTGCACTTGAAATAAGGCGCGTGTCATCCTGAAAACTGATAGCTCAAAACAAAAACATCAACTTACGTCATTCACATTAAAATGTATACACATGTTATCTATATAAATAATGTTTCATATTTTCTAATACAACCATCATACTCAATGAAGTATCAATTTTTTACAATTAATAATTGTTCAATTTTATCAAAGAATAGAAAAGAAGAATTTTCGTTTTTAAGTTAACTTACTTAATGAACATATATACTCCAGTTGGCTCCATTGCTCTGGATATACCTTTCCACGACGCTATCATACTATATTTTTGTTTTGCCGTCAGGGGTAGCCGAGGGTCGGGTGGCCCGGGACTAGGTGGCTCTTCCAGCCTATCCTTGTGTTTACTGTTGTTGCCACGGTCATCATTGGACGTAGCTGAACTCGCCAATTTGCTAAGATCACAGCCCATGAAATGTAAATGAACTCGACTTAATTTTGATAATTAAATTTTTTTGTACTTTAATTTTAATAGAAACAACTTCACCGCTACCGTACCGCATTCATTTGGCCTTAACACTCGCCCAACGCTGCTGCCTTACTGTTTTTTTCCCAATCAACGGACAGACGACTATCGCTGCTGCCGTAAACCACACACACGCGAGTGCGCGCACCTCGCGCATACGCACTGTACAATGAGTACCCTCTTTTCCGAACAAACTAACAAAAGGGTAAATTATTTTAGGCATAGGGAATGTTCAGAATCAAGGAAAGTGGAGTTGAAAAAATATTACGGTGAAATTCTAACTGAAAAGCTACTACGCGCTGGGTATACTTGGACAATCCGTGTTTGTACGGTCTAACTATCCTTTAACTAAAAGGACACCTGGACATAATCAGAAAAACAACAGGTTCCTTTTTAAATTGCGACTATTTAACAAAGAGTTTGAATTCTTCACTTCTTAATTTATTAATATTAATTATGAAATTAATTAAAAGACAATTTTCAAAATATTGTGCTTTTTTCTATAAAAGTTATTTCACATTGTGCATTAAACAGGGTAAAAAATACATTTTCTTTTGAGTTTTACGACTTTATTCATGTACTACAAATTTCAAAAAATGATATAAAATAGAATAAAAAGAAAATATTTATAATTATTTGATTTAAATACTTGATGTATATAGTATATATAAGACTTACATTTAGACTTAGTCTAAATCCTACAAAATTATTACAATTTTGTTTCATATGACAAGTAATGAGCTTTAACTATGACTAAAATTAATTAAATACTAAATAATTTAAACAAATAACTAGATAATTTTGTATTTATAAAATTTTTTGGGGGAATTACTAAAAATTAAAGTTTATACAAAAGTGGATGTCATAAATAAGTAAATCAATGCACCATAAATATATATATATATAGTAATAAAATTTCATTTCACATATCTTACCATTAGTGTGTAAATTTAGTAGATTTTAATGAAAATGCTATTTTTAAGTAATGTATTTAACAATATTTTTTTGCACCTTATGTTTCTTTATTTGGTAACATTATTTACATATGTTAGATGATTTACAAGAAGTAAAATCACCAATTTGTTTAGAAGCTCAGATAAAACTATTAATCCCAAAGCTTATACTATATGTCACGTATAAATTTACAATATATGGTTTATAGGAAATGAAGTACACTTAATATACCGAGAAATAAATTAATAATTTATCATAGACAAAATTACCTGCACTAATCCTGTTAGGTTGCAATTTAATTAGTCTATTGTTTTAATTTTAATTTTAATAGTTCATTTTTTTTTTCAATTTATTAAATATAAGTAAAAAATAGAGCAAACGAAATTATAAATTGAAAGTTCTGAAATATAAAAATTTTTCTAAAAAATTATAGTTAAGCTACATGAGTAGTAATAATAATTCACGTAAATTTTATAATAAATTACATATAATGAATAATAATATTTTTGTGTATAAAATTCCTGTAAAACTAATAAATATTGATACATATTTCTGTGAATTTTTGATAAGTTTCATGTAGTACAAATAAGTATAGGGTTCAATTCACACATTTTGATTTTGATAAATACTACTGAACTTATGATAACTATGAATAACCGCCAATTTAATTGAAGATAAAGCCACAACAAACAATATAACAAATTTGAATGATACACAAAAAAAACTTGAGCCATTTTTATTTTCAAAAAATTCTTATTGTCGTAATATAATTTTTTAACCATCAAATTAATGATAAAAGTAGGTTAGTAGAGAGATATAGACATGGATGGATTTCGTGTACTGAAAAAAACCAAGTAAGCCAATTAAAATTTGAATAAGTTATGATAATTGTTATTCATTAAAATAAATTTATATTTTATAATAATAATTGTGATTATTATGATCGAATGGTTAACCAGCTATAAGATAACATTTTCTAAATTTAAAGAAACTTGCATGCTTGGTTCTTTTCCTGTTTATATGACTCTATTTTTACTCTGTTTTTAGGTGACTTACCTGTTTTTTCCTTAAAATGTATAATAAAACATAATAAAGTCATAAAAAAGAATGGCTTTTCTATTATATTTTTATTGTCATCAAAGGTTGCAAAGATAATTTAATTTTGTTCACTACATATAAAATCTCTACACATATTTTTGTTTCGACATTATATTTTTTTTTGCCTTTTTGAAATTTTAAACAATGTTTTATCGATCGAAAACCCTTCATTTATTAATTTAAAAAATTAATTTCATAAGTGTTGTGATTTTTAAAGATTTTAAATATAATTAAGTAATTTTTTTCGTTTTAATTTATTAAAAATCAATGTATCTCTAAAAATATTTTAATAATTATAAGTATCTCAAAGTATTTTCTAAAAAATTTCTCTTTCAGTTTAATTTTCACCATGAGTATTACATTTATTTTAATGGTTTTATTAATTGTATAGTTTTGATCTATTATATTTTACTTAAAAATTTATCACTTAAAGCTGCTTTGAACGTTTTTATTATCTTATTTTAATGAAGTACTTTTTTACAAAATAAATATTGCCATTTAATAACACATTTTTCAGATAGCAATTCAGCCAGTTTCCGCTACGCTTATTTGAAATATTATTAAATAATAAATCAAAATTTTGCAATTTATATATAATTTAAAAATTAGGTACTTTACAAAAAAAAAATTATTTATTTTTGAGGGCTTAGTTGAAAATAGATTTTTACAAAGATAATAAATATTAAATAATAAAACAAAATTATTATTATTTATACAATAAGTTTTTTGGAGTCAAAAAATTCAAATATACATCAGCCAAAAGTAATATCGTAGTGCTTTAATATTTTTTTCAATTGACTCTAAAATTTAGAGGCAACAAAGTTTCCCATTATATTTTATATAGTAGTAACTTTATCCCATTTTAAATTTATTTATTGACTATACTTCAAATTTTTAATTAATGAAAGTACCAACTACCCTTCTATTTTATCCACTGAAAAAATACCGTTTCTAACTTGCTGAATACTTAATAAGTTATTATGTTGTGTATTATCAAGTTAATATTCTATTTCTCTTTTGTGAGTAATTAAATGTAAATCAATTATGAGAATAATTATTTTAGCTTAGATGCGAAGCTGAGAAGGTATTAATTTTACCATGATGTGTTAATTTTTTTTTTTTTGTGGCTGACATTATTTTTTCTCAGCTCTCACTGGACCAATTTTTCACCACAACACGTCAAAAGATCATAAATTGTGTCTAGTTGAAGACGTTACCCTAAAAAATTGAAAATTTTGCCCTCTTTTTCCGTAAATAGTAAAAATTCCCCAAAAAATTACGATTTTTAAAATTGGTAAATTTCACCTTTTTTTCTAAAAATTGCCATAACTTATTGAAAAATGAACGAATCAAAATAATTCTTTTTGATATTGTTACTTAAGATATTTTTCTTTTATTTGATATAAATTTTTTGAAAATCTGACCCTTTATCTGCCAAGAAGGAGGGACTCAAATTAGCAACTTCTGCATAAAAATTTAACTTTTTTAACTTGAGTTTCGAAAATGTTCCGGAAATACTCCAAGCTTCACAGATATGCTAAAATAAAGCTAATAAAATAAAGGAAAATATTAACACTTTTATTTAATCTTAAATTAAAGCTTATGTAATATACTATTCTATAAAAAAAAATTTCTCGAGATATAGTGAACATGGTTAACATATTCAAAAATGTGCTATTTTTGTGTTAAATTTCTTAGTATTGTATTTTAATTTATTTTAATATACCTTATAATGGGGTATATTGATTTTCATGAATATTATATAAAACTAATTGACATAGAATATAAAGTTAAACTTTTTACAATTTATTTTTTTTTTGAGTCCAAAAAATTAATTTTAACATTTAAATAAGCTTAAATTGCTAATTTTATCAAAAAACGAATGTGACAAACGTTTGCCGATTCAGTAAAAATCATTGCCTGTGCGCATTAATTTTTTTGCAATATTTCCTTAATTCTTTTTGAGTTAGAATTTTGTTTTTGAATAATGCACCAATATCTTAAAGTTAAACACCATCTATAGATTTTCACCGAAGCTTTTCTTATGATAGTGATTTTAATCACTGACAATATCTATAATAGTCCCAAGTATGCCACGCTCACACTGTGCCGCGGCCCACTGTTGTATCGTTTTTTATAGTTGATTCGGTAGTTTTATTTTTTGTACAAAATATATAGACCTTAATTAATTTAATATTTTGATATTAAACATGAAAAACTAATAGAATTATATATTTAACAGACTGCGTTATTTCATTTAAAGTTTTATTGGAATTATTCGGGGAGTGTGAGCATTACTGCTTAACGAGTGATACTTCAATGAGCTAACATTGAATTAACCTTATAAAATACTGTGAAGAAAAATAAGTTTTATAATCACTTTAAAGTTTATCAGATGCATATTTTTTAATTGTTTAATTTGTTATAATTACTACTAATGCTGATTAGTATTTAATAATCTATTAATCTAATTATTTGACATGACGATTTAAGCATTAAATTTTTAATATTTTTTTATAAAATTGTAAGCACTGAAATACGAGAAAGTGATAATGTGTTAATGCACCCACTAAGAATATAATATTATTAATTGTTGTTAATATTATTTTTCTTACATTTTCATTAAATTTGTTAAATGTTGTTAATTTACGATATGATCATTTGGTTCAAACATTTGTTCTTTAAAATAAACCCTGACTTTATATTTTTCTCTTATATATATTTTTAAACAAAATTATATATATATTTAAGAGATAAAAGTATAAATAAAATATGATTAACCTATCTATGTATCATACTTTTTTTTTTATGGAGATAAATTTATCATTTTTTTATTATTACTAAATTTTAAGATCATAGGCGTAATCATCAATATTTGAACAAATGTAAAAAATGTCTATTTCATTTTTTCTTAAATAATAATAATCTTGAAAATAGTTTTTATTGCTCTATTTAGTTGAACTAATAAGTGATTATTTATAATCAATAATAATATATAATAAATAATGATTTATAAGTGGTTAAATACATTTTAGGT